TTCACTACTATGCAACTTTGAGAGAATGTATGAACCCAAATACTCTCGTATAAGCATTTGTTATCTCTGTTAATTCTTGTATCAACTTCATTTTATTTTTATTCAGATCGTTGTTGGTTTGTTTTAATTTGGAGCCCAATATAATGCGCAGACATGCGGACCAAGATTTTTCACCGCCGTCAAAGCGACGAAGAGAAAGATCGGACTATACAGAAAGACAACGTTCAGTTTCACGAAGTTCCCCTATTTCCAGATACAAACATCCCAAGTATATACAATCGAACACACACTCGTCAAGATCAAAAAATTCTTCAGAAGGAAGAATCAATGAATTAGACAGCTCTCGCACTATCTGTGTGAGGAACTTTTCTTCCAAACTAAGTGCTGAAGTTGTGGAACAGTATATTTACCGACAGTTAGGAAAGTATGGTGATGTTTCTATCAGTGTTGGACATTTGGGAGGTGAACGTGTTGCTCTGGTTACCTACAAGTAAGTTTCGTGGGTCAAGTTTAATTGGATGAAAGGAACGAGAAGATAATGTATAGCATCTGGATTTTGTTACCTTTAGTGCACAAGCTTAAATCTAGTACATGAGAACTGTAAGAAATATGCCACATATGATAAAAGGAAAATTCAGTATGATTTTTCGAAATGAATAAGAACAGGTCCGTATTCAAAATAATGAACAAGTATAAAAGATAAACAAAAGAATCGTAACTGCACACAAAAACTACGTTTATTTAAGGTAGAATGTCTTCTTATTCTGAAATGCTGCTTCAGAAATTACAATAAAACAACCGATACTTATATCCTTGAATAAGCAGTTGCCGTAAAGTTAATTCAAATTGTCGTCTGTTGAAAGTGACTGAAAAGTTACAAAATATCCAAATGGACTAACTCAGTAATCCTTATATATTTCTTAATTATCCTTTAATGAGTAGAAACACTGTATAAACCTCCCTCGAAACACGCCATAAAGGAGAGCGAAATAGTAAATCTGTAGTTATAGTTTTTTTTGACTATCACAGTTTCTGCTTGATTTCATTATACACTTACGGATGTGATGTTATTGTTTTAGGAGTGGACTTTTACCAGAGAAATGTCTGGTTGCTCTAGAGCACGCAAATGATAATGCCATTGTGTGTGGATACACTGAAATAATGCAGTCTTCTGGACACCTTGAGCGGAAATCCTGATATGTTTGACATGTAATTCACCCCTGTAAAATGCAGGTTTGTGCCGCACCGATTCCTAGTGTAAGAATAGGATGGAAAACAGTTGAAGGTGTTGACCACTCCGTCTATCTACCAAGTTTCATTAGCTTTAATAAGCGAAATCTCAGAGAGGAAAATAAAGGCTCGTCTGGCATCTGCTAAATTGCATTATCTTTGCCACCGGTGTGACATCTGACTATCCCTCGAAACAAGATGAAGGTGGATGATGATCGTAACAGATCTGTATGTGTATAGCATTGTGTAGGCATTTTCTACTTTCCTCACTGTGGAAATTAAAATGCTTGCAACGGAGAGACAACAATTAGTGTACCATAACCTTTGAGCCCAGGACGCGTCACGGCCTGTATGAAGTTGTTTTTGTATATGTTCATGAATCGTCCCCATCCAGACATTAATGAAAGCAAAACACTTAATTCAGAGAAGAGGTTTTTTTCGGCAAACTTATTTTTTTAAGCTGTACAATCGTATCTATATGGAATTTTCATGAGGGAGTGTAGCAAAAAAGGTGAGGAATTGTCATAATCATAGTTTTCAAGAGTTGGTTTGTAACGTTTATATTTGTTTTTACGAGTATGACCACGGAGAGAGAACCACTGAAAACCAGGGAGTACTGAACAGCTGTTTCATTCTAGTTTGAGAATCATCGGCAGGGGTTCGAACCCAGGACCTTCCGGTTACAAGACACATTCTGTCTCTCTGTTTTCGACATAGAAGTTTGCACCAATGTGCAGCAGTTTCTTCATTTTTCCAAATTTATGCATTACGCAATCCGTGTGTTGCAACCATTTCTACCTTTCAATTGCGTGTATTAATTTTCTTCGTTAATTATCTTCCCTAAATCACGGATTTTGGAGATGAAAATTTTACCACCGGCCGAACCATCAATAAAAGAAGTCGGGATGTATAGTTTTCCGGGTGCACTTTTTCCAACCATTTATCTCTAAAGCAGAGAAGCACCGTAGGTGGCTTCTTGGTCGTCTGAGGGAAACACCTTACTGCTGTTGCATCTCTATTCGTCAGCAGTATGACTCCGCCCTCAGACCACCGACATAGTATGAGCAACTTACACTACGATTGTAACTGCTAGTCGAACCGATATCTAAACTATTATTATTATACATTTATTCCCATCTATATTTCTGGTATAGTAGCACCTTTAGGAACTTTCTATCTAGCCAGTGTAGCTCACTGGATCTTTATAATATACAAGCCAATCCACCACACCAAAGTAACAACTATTCGTCGGGCATCATCATCGCCCTGTGAAATAAAAAGTCGAAGGATTGTGTTCCGGTTTTGTACATTTACTATATTCTAGTCTTAATTTCATAAATTAAATTTACCAACTTCCGGGTTTATCGACACTTTTAATCATATATAATTTTTTTTGAAAACATTTCTACCTTTAGATATTCCGAAGACGCAACTGAAGCGCTTTGTGACTGTCCGACAATATACATACATGATCGTCCTGCAAATGTTACCCAGTTAACTGATATGCATAATGATGGTGATACACGGAAAGTAATTGCGAGCAAAAAACGCCAAGAAAGAGTAGAAAATGAAGATATTAGTGATCGTCGACACCCTATTCACAGCGTTCCTGGAAAATTAGAATCTACATTCCCAGATTTCTTACCCAAACCACCACTTTGTCCATCAGGTGCTACAAGCTTACTAGGGATGCCTGGAATGACATCTTCTGCGATGATGGCAGCAGCAGCAAAAGCATTAGGATTAAGTGCAGTTCCGGGAGTATTACCACCCCCACAGTTAAATTCAATCCATCCTCATAACCGTTTCGGATCTACAAACCTTCGACATTACGAACAAAACAGGGGTAGATACTCTCCTGGAGCATCCGATTCCGAAAAAGAATCAATGGCTACAAGGACTTTGTTTGTTGGAAGTTTGGAACCAGATATCACAGAGAAAGAGGTGCTTACTGCATTCGAGAGGTACGGATATGTTGAACAAATTGATATAAAACGATCTCCGAAACCTGGCGCACACTCTTATGCATTTGTACGCTTTCAAAATCTTGATATGGCTAGACGTGCAAAAGTGTCCATGTCAGGTCGTTGTGTTAGATCTCTACACTGCAAAATAGGTTATGGGAAGGCAATCCCATCTCATTGTCTGTATATCAGTGGATTAGAATCATGGACATCTGTTGATCCATTACAACGTTTGTTAGCGCGTTCTGGGCAACTTCTGTACTTTGACTGGTCTCCGAGACGCAAATATGCATTAGCTATGTTTGATAGCTGCGAATCGGCACTTGAAGCGAATAGGCAATTAAAAAGCTTCTCAGCAGCCAGTCGCCCAAATATTAGACTTCGTGTTGATTTTATCAGTCCGGAATTTGTGCAGCCGAAATCACAAATCCTAAGCAAAATTGACGTAGAAAATGATAGTCAGGTGGTGGAGTCACGAAATGCCATAATCAGATCTGATGTTGAAGATCGAATGAGTATTAGCAACAATCGTATCCATTCAAACGAACATTTCGTTGGAGAGTCTTATGCGGCAAACCATTACAATACAGGAGATTGTTCTGTAGACAAAAATGTTTCGAATTTACGACAATCGCCTCACACAAAACCACCTTTCCATATGTCTAGTCGATATCAAACGTATAATCGGAATACATCCAGATATTCTGATAATCAGAATATGCTTATCCCAGTGGAAGATGCTTCGTGTAGTAAGAAATCAGTTGTCACTCTAGAAGAATTAGATAAATATCTCCAGCCAGATTTATGGAAAGGCAAGTTCTTATTAAAAAACAACCACTTTTACTTTCGTTGTCTAATGGTAATCGGCAATAAAGACGTGAGTCAAGATTTGTTAAATTATAGAAAAGGTAATACTGAAAGCTGTGAAAAGAAAGCAAACCCAGTACTACGTATTTCACGCAGAGGTAGTATTGATGCTTCGTGGATGGCTGAAGCTACACATCGCATCCATAATGTACTGTCTACCGCCCGACATAATCTGTGTCTTATGCTAATATTACCCGATAGTGAACAAACTAAAAAGTGTGCACATAAAGAAAACAAAGCAGTTAATCAGTCTAATCCTGACAATACAAATATAAAACCAACAATACATAAGTGTTTTTCACTACAAGTGTTAGTCGCCTATCTCAAAATGAAGCAGTCAGCAGGTATAATATATCCAAGTGAAGAAAAATCACCGCATAATTCCTTGAATGAAAGTTCTGAAGAAGCAAATACAAAACACCATCCGTTAATATTGTATTTATTTGCACCGAGTAGTTTCTCGTTGGGCTTATTAAAACAAACAGCACCATATCTAAGCTCAGAATTAGCCACAACAAATGATTATATGATTCTTTTAGCAATGAAGCGTTGAAAACAATCAACTATATACATACTTTTTCCCATTTTGTACAGATTCTTATATTCTACTTATGTGCTTTAGTAATAAAAAATCAAAATTTCTGACAGTGAAAAATTTCGTTAACATTGTTTGCTAAACTGCTGTATATTGTTGTTGATAAATTTTTAAAGTTTGAAGCCCTAAGGATAAACAGAATATTCACAGCCACTAAAAAAATAAATCGTCAAGTTGTTGTTGTTGTTGCGAGGTCTTGTTTCCCTTGTAATATGAATGTGTGTAGACGTGGTAAAGATAAATGTTGCCAATTCATTACAGTTAAAATGTTAATCAGATGATGTATACGTATATAATTCATGATTAAATAATCTCCCATCTGTCTACAAAAAAAACTGGTTTCACTATCGCCAAATCTTTATAACTCCATCCATTGAAGAGGATACTAAAAATGCTTGACCTGCTTGAAGAATAGTTAAATCAGATATAATATTTTTATGACCTTTAGTTGATTCGCGTAGTTCTAGACGCCCAGATGTAGGGAATGCATTGCTTGTTAATGACTCAGTGGTAGTACTCGGCCGTTGTAGTTTGGGTGAAGATTCTGTGTAAACGGTTTTTGTCAGAAGACTTGATGTATCGCCACCTGAAGGTGTATTGACTTGTTCAACTAAAACGTAGACATCATTTACGTCCATAGACCTATTGAAGAACAGATAATGTATAACAAAAGAAATTAATTAATTTAAAATCCTGACTTGAAATACTTAATAAACAAATTCTGAAGTTCGCCTCATTTCGTTTCTACAGTACATCTACGCAATCTACACTAACCCACCTAGCTCAAACCAAAAGTCAACGACTTCTTGGGTCGACTCTGCTGTCACTGTGTGTCGTATCAAATAAACTCATCTAACATAGAATTAAATTTTACCACAGTGCCAAGTTCTACACTTACGGCGCTGTTTTTGTGGAACCATCCTAAGCTTCCTCCCAGCCTACTCTTATTTCAGCTAGAGATTCTTATCGAAAGAGTGATGATTCGGGATGCATAGTGCATGATCGTACTTAACCCTTTCGCCCTGAAGCGGGGAGATAGTATAGCTGGTCTGTAGTCCGTTTAAGAGAAGTAACTTGGCAATCGTTCAGTAGTAAGACTCATTCGCAGCACTGAGTAAGTCGTTTACGCCACGGTGGTATCCATTTTCAGGCTAATCGTAGCCTAACCTACATTTCTGTCATAATGTGACCTATAGGAACACCTGTTCCATCCGACACAGCTCGTTGGGTTATTGCAATGTGCAGGCGTGATCATCACGTCATTCAGACAGCAAAATTGACATGAAAACCAATACTCATGAAAACGAATTCAGTAAGCTGGTAGACCACAAGAATATATAATCAGAGAGATGTGACTATCACTAATCAATGGTCTTAAACAATCAAGTTAGGAAACATTAAGAAAACTTATGCCTCATGATAGAAGAATTACTTTACAGTTGTTATCCATAATCCAGGAAGTGTGTTGTATTTCTTATAAAACAAGACTGTTTATAAAGCTGAAAGTCTCACACTCTTGTTAACTGATGCTGGTTCCGTTCAACTATCTAGAATACTTTAATATATGTGTAAAACTTGGGCACTGTGGCAGTAAGTAATTCCATATTAGTTTGTTTATTAGATGTATCACACAGTGAAACAGTATTGTATACTGGATGACGTTTCGAACACAATTTATTGTTTATAATCATATCACAACAAACTAATATGGAATTATCTAGAATACTGTTGGTTTTTCATGTATGCAAAACCACAGACGATACATCCATATTTCCAATTATGGATGATACAATGTGTGGAGAAATACTCAGTAAAGACGCTGTTGCATAAAAAAATGTCTGAATTGTCCAGAGGTTTGATCAAAATAAAAGTGCTTGACAAAATGGGTGTTGTCAAACAGTAAGTTTTAAAGTCATTAAAGCTTTATCACATACTTTAACTGGACTGAAGGATTTATACGAAGTTTTTAGTTTGCCTTCCACTAATCCATCAAACCAGGTACCTAATAAACACTATCTCCTAGATTTCTTCACACTCCCTGTTACAGGGAAGTCTTACTAAACTCAAGATTTCAACAGAGTATGTACGTTGCTTATAGAGGGTCTTATTTTAATGATTTCTAGTAGTTATTTAAATGGTACTGAATGACAGGAGTTATATTTTTAGGTGTTGTTGTGTTTTCTGAGCTGGATAGTGTTATTGCGAAGCTTTCATTGTCTCTATAGATAACTTCGAGTTGTCTACAGATACAGTCAAAGATTCTCACTCAGCTCAGAGAACACAACCACAGCAAAATAATCCATTTGGGCTACAAATCTTCTTTACTATTTCAGAAGCTACATTTAGCCTTTGATTAATTAACTTGAAAATTTCCTTTTGTGATAAGGCTTTAAGTAGGTGTAAATAAACTTCAATTTATAAGCTTAGGCTCTCATATTATAACCCGTTGGTTCACAGATTCAAACATTGCGTTGCCGTGATAAACAAAGTTAGCACATTCGATGAGTTTTATAGTCTAATACAGAGATGTACAAGTGATTGTTATGTTCATCCTCAGTAGATGTATACGAGTATAAGCCAGTTAATAATGAGCAAGTAAGGATTAGATAAACAGTATATCGAACACTATTATGAAAATGGATCTTATTGATATAAGTGCTTCAGATATGGTTCCCACGTTTTCCTAACTATCTTCGGAATTTGTTACATGAATCAAAAATTGAAAGTCTAAACTAGGAAACTACTGTTTCATATATGAGAGTTTATGCATACTTAATTGCTAAGTGTTATTCATTGTAATATGTCATAATCTTATACAGGTAATACTTAAACCAACTCACCGATATGTAACTCGCGGTGGGAGAGCCTCTTCATCATTCCCAGCCCATACTAACACACATGAATCTTCAGGTCTCCTGAAATTCCAATATCTTAAACGTGCATCGTTACCACCTGCCACAATAGCTGGTAAATGTCCAACTTGAGGATTGAGTTTTTTATATTCATTTGTAGTCATTAAACTTCTATTTGGAAGACATAAAATAGCTCGAACTGACCGCTGTGGTAGAGAACTGTCAAGAATAAGAGGTGTTCCATTTCCTGGTTGTGCCCATGTAGATGCTAAACAACCTGTACTATGAACTGGTGGAAGAGAACCAGGCAGTCCATAATTGCATGACGAAATAGCTGCAGATGATGCTGTGGCGGATGACTCCAAATCCCAAATGGTCAACTCATTATGGTGATCAGTAGCAGCTATTATCTACAATACAAATGAAACTAACTCAACCAGATATAAGTGTAAAACTTGGGCAGCGTGGTAGAGCACAACTCCATTATGGATAAAACTATATTTTGATAAATCACACAGTGTTGTACAGTAATATTAACTGATGACGTTTCGAGTACAAACTATTGCTCATAATCATATCAAGTTACTCATACAACTTTTTTTCTTTCATTTATTATACATGCGTGGAATCGATTAGAAATTGGAATAAAAATTGATCAATAACACTCATATTATTATTTCTGAATGTACATTATCTCATATTGATTTTTATTCCAATATCTAATCGATTCCACACGTGTATATAAATGAAGGAAAAAAGGTTGTGTGAGTAACTTGATATGATTATGAGCAATAATTTGTGCTCGAAATGTCATCAGTTATTATTACTGTACAATAGTGTGTGATTTATCAAAATAAAATCTTATCCATAATGGAGTTAACTCAACCAGATTTTGCGAATACAATTTCATTAAAAAATTTTTTAAATGATTGGATAATTTTTAGATGAATCGTTACCAGATATGGCTTCTCTGGTGTTATTTTGAACATGACAAAAATCAGTGGCCAGTTATAGGTTCTAATTCACAATTTGTTATATATTGGACAGTCATCTCCGAATTCGTTGCAAATGCGTTGTAATTAATGTACGTAGAAACTAGAGTCCTTCTCGAAAGGTCTATTCAATTAGAGTACAATATGGTGATCTGTAATGCGACAAAATCGGTTTAGTCGATTACTAGTCACAAATTGGTTAGAAACATGAATAAATAAATAAAAATCAACGGAAGTGAGTAAATAGATGATAGGACATTCGTAAATGTGAAACCTAAATATAACAGTCTGTCAGAACAAATGTAGTAAGATAGAGAAGTAATGATGAGTGAACTGTTATCAATAAAAGTAAAATAAAACGTTAGGATGTAATAACGTAAGGTGAAATAAAACAACATGGAATAAAGAAGCTCTGTGAATTACATGGCAAAATTAAGTTCAGAGTATCAAAAGAGGCCGTGCAAATCATTTTTGATTAATAAGTTTCGGATATATTTTGTGTACTGTCAAAGCTTATGCTAGAACAACGGACTGCACTCGTGAACCTTTTGAAACATTTTGTCGGACTTTGTAGACGATGTTGAAAAATGAATAAGAAGCTGCGTGGTCATTATCTACTACATGTTGTGGTATGAACAAAATTAATGGCCCTAAGCTCTCTCTTAATCGAAAAATCTCTTGGTCACGATGAACAGTTAAGCACGCCGATTTCGAAAATAGCAGGCGACCCGGCCGATAACTGCTACCTTGTCGTGGTGGTCGGGCTTGAATACCGTAATGACGTAACATGCTAAACTGACTGGGACTCTGTCCCTGCAGGTCCTACCATGTCAGGAAGGTTGTCTGGATAGCGGTTAAACTAAAAGCAGTTACCATGGGGTAAATGGGCTCTAGTATCCAATCGGATCAAATGGCGTATGAACCCATATGGATCACCGGAAACCATGGGAATGCAGCTCTGACGCTGCTCCTCTGCCTTGCGGATTAGACTCTAAGTCAAAGGCTCGGGTGGTGGTCCCTTAATAAAAACACCTGCTTCGGTCTGGGCGCCCGGACAGTATCTCAGCCCTCACACAATGAATTGAATGAAACAACAAACAATCAATGAAACTTATCGCGTGCTATTACACGTGTTGCAATTTCCTTCTTTCTTAACTTTCCGATGATAGTTAACGAATACTGTTTGAACTTGTTAAGCATGACTGTTTTCCTTCCAGATGAAGTTCTTTATGCGTTCTCTACCTATATATATATATATATATATATATATATATATAATTTTCGGCTTAGCAGAACTTTTTGCTGCTATTCGTAAAGTTATCCCCCGGTGCACCTTAGTTGTTAAGATGTAACAACAGAAGACAAGGGCCAGGCAACAGATCGTTTTATTATGAAAATCAACACGTATTTATACATCTTTCAACTACATTATTATAGACAAGCGCAGTCATCTGATTGGTTGTTTAGGTAGACAAACGCAGGCTTCTGATTGGTTGTTTCGGGATTCCTTGACAAATAGAGTTCTCTCTGCGAATCATATTTTGCCACGTTAACTTTGCTGTGATTGGTTGTTGACTCAGGCTTGTTCATATTTTCTCACGGCCCATATTAGTGACCTAGACCTTAACGTAGATTAGTGCCAACCAATCGGCTAGCAGCCTGCTCTCACCACACTCGTCCCCCCGTCAAATACGTGCGACTGAAGTCGGCTTGATCTACTTGGTGCAGGCGTCATCGTTGGCTTGTCTCGCTGTATCCGTTTCTGGAGCTCGCTGACGTTCACGCGCCTCTTATTGTTCGCCATTGCGACTGTGTCTGCGTAACCCCATCTCGAAGTGACCATATATGGTCCTTCCCACTTTGGAAACTGTTTGCCTGACCCTGTCGAACATTCGTCCATACTTCGGCTCACACTTTCATATGCTGCTTTCACCCGACCTCCCAGCAGCGCCCCAAGTAGCAGCTCCATCGCTGACAGATCTTGAACGCCACTCAACTGCGCAGAAGCCTTGAAGTCCTGCCCGAAGATCCATATGTCTCCATCAAAAACAGCAGGGCATAGGCTTTCCATTTGTCGGTAGGCAGCGACACCAAATGTAACAACAGAAGACAAGGGCCAGGCAACAGATCGTTTTATTATGAAAATCAACACGTATTTATACATCTTTCAACTACATTATTATAGACAAGCGCAGTCATCTGATTGGTTGTTTAGGTAGACAAACGCAGGCTTCTGATTGGTTGTTTCGGGATTCCTTGACAAATAGAGTTCTCTCTGCGAATCATATTTTGCCACGTTAACTTTGCTGTGATTGGTTGTTGACTCAGGCTTGTTCATATTTTCTCACGGCCCATATTAGTGACCTAGACCTTAACGTAGATTAGTGCCAACCAATCGGCTAGCAGCCTGCTCTCACCACAAAGGTAGTGCTGTCTCGATTGTCTAACTCCGTATGTATTTACATGTCCATCTGATATTGTCAAGCTCGGTTCATAGGACGTTCAACATCCTCAAGAACACCTTTTAGGTTGTCTAAGCGAAGGAGAGCGTACAGCTATTAATTCACATCCATTTAAACGTACTCATTGGTGACTGACATCAATCTTAAGTCTTACTGAAAATGTAGCATTCGACAATACTGATTGACTTTTTGCTTAGTGCCACTGGGATATTTATTGAAATTAGAACATGGAGGTACAACGTTACTGCTGCGTGTAATGAAGACTGCGTGGTGTATTTTTGTTCTTAAACTCCATTCATTACAGTTCAAAATATTGTTCCACAATAGTTTGTTTATTAGATGTATCACACAGTGAAACAGTATTATTTACTGGATGACGTTTCGAACAAAATTTATTGTTCATAATCATATTCGAAACGTCATCCAGTATACAATACTGTTTCACTGTGTGATACATCTAATAAAAAAACTAATATGGAATTAATTACTACCACAGTGCCCAAGTTTTACACACATATGAAATCAAAATATCGTATTGATTTATTTTTTTCCTTTACGTTCCGAATGGGACATCAAGCTTCAAGATGGGGCTTTGAAGTGTCGGTAGCAGGTGTTTATTTTTACTGGGTGGGGTTGGTAGACTCACGCCCAACCTTCCCTTTTTATCAAACTTACGAGGTTTAGGAGTGCGTCGGCTGAGGATCGGATCACGGGCCATCAGAGTGGTTGGTGACCGTTCTACCTCTGGACCACCGACTCATCAGTTCATAATAAAGAAATGTCAAATGGAAATAAAAACTTACCAATGTTTGTCCTACTTGACGGGTTTTATCCGATAATTGAGTACGATTTTGACCAGTACACTTTAATTCCATTTCAAGTGGAGAAGGAGTTTCAGCAATAAGCAAATTTGAAATTCCTACACCTGCCTGGTATGGATGTTCTGTATAAGCTATCTGACGTCTATATCTTAAATCCCAACAAATAAGATGACCACGACTAGTTCCTGTAACTAACCATGTGTGAAAACTATGCATTGCCATTGAAAGTATTAATCCTATAAATAAGATATGAAGCAGCAATATTATTCAGTTGTTACTTTGAACAGAAAAAAATACGACAGACATGAAAAACTCTGACCAATATCAAGCAAAAAGTTCGGATCAATAATCACTAATTTGTGATTATTAGACGAGTCTATCACACAAAATTAATCAAACTTCTAAGTGTATTAATACATTTTTATCAGTCTTTGAAAAGTTGACTAATGGGTGGCAAAGCTTAACGGTAATTGGTTTCACGTTGTGATTGCATACTGGCCACTCCCGTGGAGCCGGTTACGCCGGACATACAGTTAGGCACGTTCACCATCGGATTTTCTTGCATCATTGTGCATGCTTAGACCAGAGGTTTGTCTGTTTTTGACATAGAACTTTGCACCGATGTGCACCAGTTAAAGTCACCACACTCCATGTAGCACACATAGCAAGATAAGAACACTGTACAACACTGTGTGATTTATCAAAATAAAATCTTATACATAATGGAGTTACACTCTACCACAGTGCCCAAGTTTTATACTTATAGCAAGAGAAGAAAGAAGAAGAAATGCATAATAGAGACACTAAACAGAAGTGTGAGACAAAGGAATAGTAATAACGAAGAACAATATAGTTTCATTGGAAATCATAAGTCACAAGGAGTGGATGCATCTGCGCCAGCCATTGACAACGATTTTGAGCCATATCACCAATTGTTTCCAACCATTGGTTTTTGCCGTCCCAAGTACACCAACCAGTCAGGAAGTCTACACCTTCCTACGTGACTGGCTTAGACTAACTGTTGTAGATTTTATTGACTGGTGGCATGTTTTTGCTTGACCTCCGCTAGCTTTTTTCCAGCCTGACCCTATATCAGCTAACATCGCCCATTGTCGAGGAAGACGATGACTAGGCATACGTAACACATGTCCTAACCATCTCAATCGGTGTAACTTCACAGCCTCGTCGATTCATTTCCCCTCCTTACCTAGAACTCGACCAACGCCTAACCTCAATATTTCTCACCTTATTATGCCGCTTCACACGGGAGATAGAACGCAGGCACCTATGATCAAAGACAGCTAATCTTTTCATGTCTTCCACTCTCAATGGCCAGATTTCGCAGCCGGAAGAACACAAAATCGACCCACTTGGTTGATATTCATCATAGTATTAAATCCAAAAAAGGGGGTTCCTTGCTATTTACCATATTTCCACGAATCTTAATTTTCCCTAACGAGTTCGTCTTCTACATACAGAAGGTAACATCGAAATCCCAACCTGAAGAATCCTAGTATGTGTTCAAAAGTGATTTGAACAACTACTCTCTTTACCAAGACTATCTTTACATGAATGTAGGAAGTAATTGTTTCTATCTCCCCGTATCCTACTTAATAGTTATGATTTTGACTCTCATCAACTTACCTATTTCACGCTTAACTGTCTCCACGTAATTAATTTTAATAATCTGATCAATTTATTTCCCTTATTTTTCAGCGTTTATATTACACATTGTGTAATCATTTATTTCAACTTAAATTTCCCAACTTCCACCCAAAGAAGATATAAAGGTAACGACTGAAGCAGCCCTTACTAATCATAAAAAATATTACAGAAACACGGAAATCTTCGCAAAGTTAATGATGTTACCATGAGCTCTGTCTTGTTTCAATATCCACACAGGAGGACTAGAACTTGGTATGCGTATGTCACGAGCAACAATTTGATTGCTAGTCGTAGCATAAGCAATTGAATTGACTTCTCCTCCAGTTGGCATGACCTGTTGTAACAGATTATATTGTGAAGGAAAGTGACAGCATGTTGATGACCTGAGGCATATAGCGCGACCAGAATTATCTGTAATTAACTGACTGATCCCACTGGATCTACCAGTAGCCACATCAATTTGCTGTAGACATTTGCCATCTAGTATTGTAGCCAAACTAGTTCCATTCGCTGTCCAAACAAGACCCTAAAAGGTGAATTCAAAGTTTATAAAAATGATTGCTGAAAAGAAAGCAATTTAGATATTTGTAGACTTTATTTTAGTTTTTACAATGACTTTATGCACGAAGAAATCAAACTTGAGGTAATGAAGAACATTTGTAGCTACCATTTGGGTTTTCAGGTTGAGTTATCCTCTGAGCTGAAGTCTCGTTTAGTTAAAGAGCCATTGGGAAACCTGGGAGTATTGGACAGTTATTTCGTCCCCGTTTAGGGCACTTCGTCAGCACGCACCTGTCGGAGTTCGAACCCAGAAATAATTTCGTACGCTATGTGAAGAGATGGCGATTTTATTCGGATTGATGGCATAATACAGGTTTTTACACTTCTCTGACAGCCAGTATACCGTACGATGGATAGCAACGTCAAATATGAGATCGGAGAAAATTAGGTGGACTGAATTCGAATCACTGGCACAGGAAAAAGAAAGCGATTAGGCTAACAACTGACTTATAACACTGAAGTTACATGCTGGAATTCGACAATAAAATATATTCACATGAGTTTTAGGATTATCCTACAATGAACCCGTATTTCTTTCGAAAATTTGATATTACAACTGGCATTGTCTGTTCATAAAATTGAACAACTTTCTAATGCACAACAGCCCTCATAGCTTTTAGAAGAAAAATAATTTGTAGGTGCATTCAAATATGAGTTAGATGGATTCAATTTTAGTCATACAGCAATATAAGTTAACGCATTAGAAACCGTGAATTTTTCAATGCTGTTTTTCTTTGCATTCAGGGGTCTATTTTTAAAGTTCACCAACACACTCCGAAGTTAACAGTGAACGCGTCAATACTGAACAGTTAGGTCGAATGAAGTGCATTGCGTATAATAATTCTAGGTAACTCTCGATATAATGATATTTTATGCAAAAAGTAAATTCTACACTCCCATCGGTTAACTTAAAAAGTCACTGACAGCAAGAAAAACCCTTTATCAAATATATTGTTGTGAATTATCATTAGACACAGGGTTCACTCTTAATTTAATATATCAAATTGAAATAGATAAGTGTAAATAAAATGCATAGAATGCAAACTTTCTGAATAAGCAAATTCAGCTACGACTTTTTGCATAGCCATTGCAATCGTTCTAAGAGATGAGATGAGGTCAAAAGTCGTCATATATGTGCTACATTTCAAAATTTTTTCTTAACAATTGGAAAAATTGTTTTTTTGGGGTGGAGGTGATGACAAGCAGCGGAATCTATGATGTGCGTTTCGTCTTATTTAAGGCTTATCAGCTGGATATATCTGCATTCTCAGTGAATGATATTGTCACCGTTGAGACTCGAACCATGCAATCAACGAAAAATGCTAATCAACCTAGAAACAAACAATTGAAGTAAATGTATAAAAGCTATCGAACTCGGCTGTTTAGTAGACACGTTGCAAGAAATTAGTAGTTCTGTGTATAACCACAATCAAAATTCCAAACGACATAAATTAGTGCCAATATCTCGGCCTAAATTCATCAAGACTTTCCCGATAGGTAGGATAGATACGGAAACTGGAGATACACTCGTATTAGTCAATAATATGGAGAACTCAGATGAAGTGTCGTTACAGAAATCTCGCTATGGTTTCCACTTCACATCTTCACTACATTTCAAACCTATATGTCTAAAGCATTCTACTACTTTCGTTAGATAAAACCGTAATGGTCATTTTTTTTCAAGAAAGCCAAATTGTAGTTAAAGCTTACTCGACATGATTTAAACGATGAATCATTTGAATCTTGTCCAACACAGTTAACCGTCCAGGATGATCGTGTAGGTAAGCAATAGGCTAAACCAAGCTCTGAGTTCTTCGAATTTGTCGACTTTTGAACAAAGTCAGACGATGTACCACAGCTGTTAATGCGTCCAGAGTGATTTCCAGCTGATGATTGATCTAAATAACCATCAGACTCAGTAGGCCAAAATCCACAATTCCATAGTTTCACTGATCCATCACCACTTGAACATGATGCTAGGAGTCTACCAGAATTATGAGTTGCCAAACTGTAAACAAGAATATAAAACATAGGATATTGCACAAATGATTAAAAGAGGCATTATCACAGGTGACTTGTCCAACCTTGGATTATCCAGTAGTTCTTACTTATAAACCACAGTGAATGCATGAATTACCCAATCTTTAAATGCGAATTCTTTTACATACCATTCAGACAAAATTCAAGGATTATAAGTCTGAGTCTTTGAACGTCTGTGTCTATGTATATACAAATTAGCTATAAGTTTGAAAAACAGGCAAGCTTGAACATTCCAGAAAACGTATCCTCTTTTGACAAACAATCAGTTATCCAAGGAAATACCATTATACCATTGACACAGTGATTCAGCGTTCATTTGTAAAAGCGGAGAAAAACTATGTAATATTGGATAAAACGAATACATTGATAAAGGAACTATCAACTTTAGACAAGTCGTTAATCGGCGTCATAGTCCGACGAGAAAATTCAAGAGACAAATAACCGTGATAGTATGTATTCTCATTAAATTATTTATTACATTCAGCCTATAATCGAATGAATGTACATAGAGAGGTGGATGAGAGATTATTTGCTCTATCATTTGCCTATTGAAGCTGTAAACTATTTTCTCACCGTTTTCAAGTGAAAAATACGAAGCGAACATATACAAAAGGTGATAAAAGTGAATTAATTAAACCTGATGGAAATAAGAAGTAATACTCAATGTACTCAATAATAAACTGTTAATATTGTGCTCCTCAGTTGTATAGTGATGAATATATACCCATCTATCACGTGGAAGGTTCGAGTTCAATTCCGCGTCGAGGAGTTGGCTTTGTGCGTCGGTGGTTTAGTGCTCGTCAACCATGCACGTGGTCAGGAGTTCGTTTCCCGACCGGTGGACACTTTTACCTCCCTTAGCCGATTATAATTCAGACAAAGAGGGAAGGATGGGTGTGAGGCTGGGAACTCCAGCCCGTAGATAAAACACTACTGCTACTGAAAGGTCGAGCATGAAGCCTTATGTTCCATTGTGAGCACACACAACAGGATGAAATAAATAATAAAAAATTGTACAACTTAAAAGTGACTTCTTCAAGAAGAAGAAGAAATCCTCTTTTCTGAGTTACCTCTTCTTTTTTATAACAACAAGTTGTTTTTGAACAAATAAAATGATACGATAATAACTAGGCGTAAATGTAAGAAAAGCCTAGCAACCAAGTTACATAGGAGGTACTAATAGGATAACTCGTTAAAATATACACACTAATTTAGAAAAGTTTAACAGTTCATATTTTAAAATCCAATTTTCTCAAGTTGCTACATAAACAGCAACTAGTTATTACAACAAAAAGACAAAATACTACTAAACACCTATTTACATTTATGTGTAATTGACAATGAGACACACCTATTGTGTGACAGTTTGTAACACTACCAGTTTACTTGATGCTCAGTAGGCAGTGTAAGTTGATGAGACGTGTACCAGTAGTTGAAAAAGTGGAAGCTAAATACATCTACAGATAATTTAATTGTCCAGAGGAAGTATTTCGATTGTAATCAGCTAATAGGAAAATACTTAAGTAGCTTACATTCGACTTTTATATAATATCTTTAGGAAACGTTTTATCCAGTGCATCGGTGGGACAGTGGTTAGGACTCTCGCCGACCATACACATGGTCCGAGGTTCGATCCCCTGCTGACGCACACCTGATATCTATGGTCGGCCTGCAAAATTTGGGCTGCCGATATAACATGCTGAAAATTCCATACTTGTACCAAAAATACAGCGTGAAATCCAGCTGTAATCAAAAACATGAAAATATATATAATAGAATGAAGACTAGAAGTCTCTCTTTAAAGATAACTGAAGCACTGTGTCTCCCTATACCAGGAATTCGACTTTCAGAAGCTGACTTCTCATGTTCGAAGCTCGTTCCACATAGCATAGATAGAATGAACAAGTAGTATCACCAATCCTCACCTAATATGTGTGATTCATTGATAAGTGCAACTTCATTGACGTTGAAAAGGCCTTCGACAGCGTCGATCGAGAGGTGATTCGGCAATTACTTTGCTACTTCGAGGTGCCACCGGCAATTATACATCCCATCCAACAGTTGTACGACAACACTGCATGCCAAGTAATCCACAACAGGAAACTTACAGAAGCCTTCAAAGTAAAGACGGGAGGAAGACAAGGCTGCCAACTATCGCCGATGATTTTCCTCATTGCAGTGGATTGGATAATGCGACGGACAGTTAACGGGCAGCGAGGAAACAGGCATAAAAAAGAAACCCACGCAAAAATCTTGGAGGGTCTGGACTTCGCCGATGATATATGTCTGATTTCCCACAAACTGGATCACATGCAAGTGAAAAGCAACAAGCTGGCATAAGAAGCATCAAAGAAAGGCCTTCAGGTGAACATACAGAAAACAGAGGTGATGAAGATTCCTGGCCAATACCAACAGACAACAATAAGCCGGCATAAATGGGAGGAACCTGAAACGAACAACCTCAGTTACCTACCTGGGAAGCATCGCTTCAACTACAGGTGGAAGTGACGAGGATATAAAAGCAAGGATCGGGAAGGCAAGGCTAGCTTTCATTTCTCTCAAGACTGTGTGGAGGTCTACAGCACTCAGCATCAAAAACAAGATCCGGATTCTCAACTCTAATGTGAAGTCAGTGCTACTATACGGATCAGAGACTTGGAGCGTCATAAAGAGCACCTCAAACAAACTACAGACCTTCATTAACAGCTGTCTTCGCTCAATACTACTCAAGATCAAATGGCTGGCTAGAAAAAACTAGCAACAAGGATCTCTGGGAGCGAACTAACAAACCAGGAACCGATTGTGAAACAAATAGGCAGGAAGAAATGGAGATGGATTGGCCATACGCTGAGGAAACCATCAAGTGACATCACTAGACAAACCCTCGAGTGGGACCCAAAGGGAAGCGGCGAGTTGGTCGTCCAAGGGTGACTTAGAGGAGGTCATGTAAAGAGGAGATGAAAGCATATGCGCAGACGTGGAGCCAGGTGAAAACTTTAGCAGAGAACCGAACGCAATGGAGACGTTTGGCTGAAGCCCTATGTTCCTCTAGGAATTAAAGTAAATGATAATAACAAATAATTGATAAGTGCACCAACATGCATATGACTGTTGAGTATTACATCACTTACATTGAATTCACATACTAACAAATTCAGATGACCAGAGCTAACAAAATATCTTAAGAATTCAATTAGAAAATAAAGTTATGTAGCTAGTGAATAGAAAGAAATTCTCCATTTTCGTAAATCTGGTTTTTGTTTTTGACTGATATGAAGGCTGAATCGATAGGATATCTTATTGAAGATTGTGCTCATCAATAGCATTTCTCAATCGATACGACCGATAAAAGAAAGAAAACTCGCTTTAACTGGATGTGTAACTCCCCTTTTCACTTTGCTTTAAAGTATGCACATATTATTAACAATTAGTATAGCTATAAACAGTTCTACTGCAATTACCTTATTACACCTGCACGATGCTCACGAAGATTAGCCAGCATAATACCTTGAGGACGAGATTCCGGCCATACAGGCATTTCACCGTGTACTTCAAACATATTACGAGGATTTGTTCGTAGACCGGACAATGGATTAACAATTTCTGTAAATGATGAGAACACTTCACCGTGAACAATTGTACTGGTCTTTGATTGATTTGTATTAGACGTACTCACTGATGATTCAGAATGATCTGTACCAGAAAGCGATGTTACAGACGGAGACAATATTAAACCACGACCAAATATCACCTTTTTAGCTGAATCAAAAGTATCACGATGCAATGAAAGGCGACCGGATTGTAACCGTTCCCATAGAAGGTTTACGTATCTTTTTAACGGAGAACACAGTATCCTATGGGAAAAAAGGAAAGCGAGAAAGAAGTAAAATTAAGGACACATATTACAACAACTAAGACTATAGATTATTAATACATATTTTTCAGTGAAGATCCAATGGTTCTTTGTCCTTATTACATTGATGGTCATGGAAAACAGCTACGTAGTATATCTTTACATATACGATATTATCACAATGTCAAGATATAGTCACAAGACAGCCACCTGGTATCTCAGATGAACAGATATATTGTTGTTGTAACAGTATAAAAGTAATGATATTCATAATTACTTTAGAATGACGAAACAAATATATGGGCTTCTTTTGTCTGAAAGTCACCTTTCCTTGTTTAACACTCAAAATCAAAGCTACATAATGATCACTAAGTAATCACGTTATATGTTGGTGATGTTTGATCGGTGTAAATGAATATCCTATGTCAGTTTGTCCTGAATTGATAGCTGGAAAAATTGGAAATCGGAACTTTAGTCAGCTGTTGTTTCATCCGAAATTGGAACCCTTCAACAATGCGCACACATGATCTTCTATGACCGAATCCAGAATTGTTAACTTGTGTACTATACGAGGAAGTCAATATAAAGCAAAACAGGATTAGTTCATGATTTTCATCTTCCGCTAATCCGCGATGTAAAGCTACTGACATATAAATAACACCAATGAGTAGCGATTATCATACTTGACATGGTAAATCTCAGTGATCACACTTTTTATCCGAACGTCGTAAGCAGTGAATTGGTCTACTATCACAGCAGATGATTTCCTTAACAAGTAAGACCCTGCTCCTTTCCTTTGAATTCATAGCAATTAGAATCAACATGAGAAAACTTGCTCGGTTGTTAACTTATTGATTACAGCCCTACAGTATATGAATCGCGAGTCCAAATAACTCAGCGGTAATGTGTCCGACTGTAGCACTGGATGACATGATTTCGAATCCCTTAGGGAGGTATCAGTTACTCCAAAGTTGCACATACGTCTTGCTAACAAGTGCTAATAAATATGAAACCTACATCTAGGAACTCCCACCAACTGTCTCTAACAAGCTAACATCAAGAAGACATCTGGGCAGCTGTTGTATGTTTAACAGACAGTTACAAACTGCCTATTCACATAATAGCCAAGCTTTTTCAACTATTATCAGTCTAAATGAAGTAGTTAACAGCTCAGCTGATACGGTGCCACGTTACTAATCTGGAGGCCGTGGGTACAATCCTGCTGCAACCGAAGTTTTCATTTCACCTCCAATCATCATTTTATCACAATGATTTGAATCTGTTAATCCAACGACATCTCAGATAGTTTCACCAGTAAGTAAGGAATACACAGGACCAACTAACGAGCCCATGGTCTAGTCAATTACTGAGTAAATGATTAAATAATGGTTGACGGAAATTTGTTTTGAATGGTATTCACGTCTGTATTAAAAAGTTATTACGGTAGCAGAGGTGGATAAATTCTTTCGTTCCCTTGTCTGCCAATATTCTCCATCGCATCCAGTTCAGTTTTAATTTTTTTTCTTTTAATACGTGTTTCGAGGCATTGAAATATACAGCCGTGGACTTTCGTATACAGATCTGGACTTTTTTGTGTATCGGCACAATCTTAAAGTAATAAAATCATGAGTTTCAGACTCAGTGGTTCACATACATTGTTGAGGTTATGAAGTAAGAAAGTCATTATAAAAGCACCACAATATTCGTCACTAAAATGATAATATTAGTATTTAAAAATAAAACAAAAAAAGCAATTACCATTGTAAATAAGAGGGATCCGCCAGGAAGTCTTTGGGATCTGTACACTGATTAAGAGGTTTTGAACCTAAATAACAATCAGATGTATAAAACCGTTATACATTATTTAAAATAATTCCAGAGTGTTTAAGAAAAAATCAAAAACAAGATTTTTCTGAGCATTGCGCTGTGTAAGCCACAGCTTCTACAGCAGAATTATTAGGATTTTATTAACCATCAAATTATTCAGGGAAATGCGTAACATCTATGGCCTGGAAACTTATTAAGATACATAAAACTGTTGTTTTAAAGACAAACGGAGGTTATATACAAAAGATCTACCATTATTCTATAGTAATCTAAGCTTTTACACTTCATATTTACAGAGCAGTAAGAAAAGTGAATAAATAATGGTAATACAGTAAAAATCAATTTAAAGTATGAATGCACCTGTACTAGTGTAATCATTCCTAAGAATATCACATAAAGTTTCTGATAGTAGATTCCAGTGTTCATTTGAACTGGGTTTAGGAAACTTACACGACTTATCTAGAAATAGTTAATGACTTCATGGAACAGATATGTGTCCTAGTTCATTTCAACTCCCATTAATATATGTATATATATATATATATATATATATATATATACATTTTAAGCATGTGTGCCTGACACATGACCCTGGCACTTCAGGTGATGAAGGTTTTTAGCTTCTCCAATTATTTTACGTGTTTGTCACAAACTCTACGAAAGTAGCAGTTGTTGTAGAGCAAGACAGAGAGTGCTGTTGAGTGATTCTCTCAACAGATGATAAACACTTGACAGCTATCATGTCCCAGTTTTGGACCTGCAGCAGTACACACTCTCGACTCCACGAAGGATCGAACTCACAACAATCAGGTAACGTGACCAAGTAGGTTGATGCTCACTAGTGATTCACTACAAGATGAAGCTGCCCAGAGTTTCCATATCAATCCGCGATCAAACTTGAAACGAATAAAACAAACTCTTAGAAGTTAATAAATAATGAAATATCAAGCATGCGCAAGGATTTGAGTGAAGACTAAACCACTTTTTTGGATCATTTAGTTTCTTACAAAGGTCAGTATGACATTACAGAAGCCTAATCATCTGCTATTACAATTTAGGATTTAATTCATAGCTTTAACTATTTGATCTAAGTCATATGAGTTTCATCAGCAAGGTCGATTGGCTGAAAAGTGCAGCGTATATCATTGAATGCACACAAATTAATATTTAACCTTTCTCTTGGGTCATAACACTCTACTTTGAGTATTCTCTAATAGAAGGGCAAACTTAGTTCAAAGGTCTTATATACGCCAAGATAGATGTATTCATTTCGGAATATCCTATTAGTCTTTATGATCTAACCTTTCTTTCACTTTGTTACGCCTTTGTTGTATTGTTGAGAATGGCAGTAATTACACATTAATCACCGTTATACTTCACCTACTGTTGGGACCGATATTAAACCTCATATATATATATATATATATATATATATATATATATAAATATTCGTAATTATGCACAGTCGTGTGGAGTGGTACGAGCATATCTTACTTGGGATACAAAATTTAGTTGAAATGATTTGGTTTGTTATCATTGGCCATTATTAGCTAAGTATTATAATCTTAGTCTAATTGTTCATTATTTGACCTTGTTGGAACCTATACCGCATATATCGCCTGGAAAGCATGTAAAGGTTTACAGATAACAATATGATTCTGCCATGTGAGAAAAACGTCATGTTTACATGTATCCTCTGCATAGCCTGATAGTTTTACTCGTTGGACAGCTCGTCTTGGCCTAACTGCATCAATGCTTGCTACCAGTTTATTTTGGCACAGCCTGGTTCTTAGTGCCTATATGCTTGGGTATAGTCTGTTTACAAAACATGTTAGTGAATTCCATTAAAATAGAGTCGATTATATGTGTTCTTTTATTACCTACAGACGCCTTGAAAGATACTGTAAAAGGGATGTATGAGAATCTTGTCTTTCTGATGCAGCTGGCGACCTATTGATTTAGGTGTCGTATGGGGTTATGCAGGTTTACTGTTGTAAATCCTGGATCCCAGAAGTAAGAAATGGAGCCATGACAGAATGCAGTAAAAAGTATCTTAAGCTGTATGGAGGAATTCTGGTGGACGGTGTAACGCTAAAATTATTTTGAAAATCCCTTTTGAACGATCTAATCGCAATATTTATATTTATTTGGATGTTACAATTAAATTTTTAATCATTATCCGTTTTCCTCCTAAACTTTATATCATTATTTTGGTATCTGAATATCATAAACTGACTTGATCCTTATTATTTGTCTTTGTCCTTGTTTAATCGCTAATTTTATTGCCTTTCTTTGTGGTTGTGCTATACGTTGATAATGCGTTTTTCTACGATGTGATTTTGTTAGAATGAATTCGGGTTATTCTAACCATGGACTGTTCGCGGGAGATATTGGTATGCATTTCTTGTGGATAAAGGTTTTGATCCCACCTAGTTGGGAATCTGTCTGTCTGGATTCAACATAGAACTTGGCACCGAAGTGCACCAGTTCGAGTTGCCACGTTCCAAATAGCACACAGAGGTAGACAAGAAGATGAGTGTAGAGAATCAATACAGTCTGACAAGTATAAGAGTGAAACAGAATGGGTAATGGTAGAAAGGAATATGAAAGATTACAGAGATTCAATACATCTGAGCCACTGACAACGATTTTGAGCCATGTCACCTATTGTCTCCAGCCATTGATTCCTAGAGTCCCGAGGGCTCCAACCGGAAGTCTGCATCTCCCTACCTGACTCAGTTTAACTGTCAAGGATTTCATGGATTGATGCCATGTTTTTGTCTGGCCACCACTGGCTCTTTTCCAACCTGAACCTATATCAGCTAGCAAAGCCCGTCGGGGGAGGCGATGGTTAGGCATGTGCAGCACGTGACCTAGCCATCTCAATCTATGTAACTTTATAGCCTCGTCGATTGATTTTCCCTCTTTGCCCAACACTCTACGCCTAACGTCAACATTACTTACCTTATTAAACCACCTAATGTGAGAAAGAGATCGCAGACATCTATGATCGAAAGCATTCAACCTTTTCATGTCTTCAACGCGTATTGGCCATGTTTCAGAGCCATAGACAAGGACGGAACGAACTGCTGAGCAGCACACACGTCCCTTGGTTGATAGCCGAATGTCACGCCTACGCCAGAGACGGTGTAAGTCAGCGAAAGCAGCTCGAGCTTTTCGGATCCGTGTTGAGATTTCGTCGCCAATCAGTCCGTTGGTGCTAATACAACTTCCCAAATAGGTGAAGTGGTCAATATGTTCTATCACTTCACTCCCTATCACTAAGCTATGAGTTGACGTAGTCCAGTCCTGTAGCAGCATCTTGCATTTCGCAGGGGCGAAAGTTGGGAATATTCTACTTGACTCCAAGTAACTGTTCTGTATAGCTGTCAAACGGCACTGTTGAGGTATTTTTCAGCTTTTCATGTCTTTCGAGCGTTCTGTGACATTACGGGTCTCAAGGAAGTTTTGTCAGCTATACAGTAGGATGCAGATATCGGTTTCCTGCATTGAGGCCATGATGAGTCAGTTTCGGTCGGAACAGACATGTATGTTGAAAACACAACCATTTTATATATACAAACACACATAAGATTATCAAAATGATCAATATATATTCAGGAACTTGGCATCAACAAGTGCCATCTTTTCTGCAGGGGTTTAGGGCACTTATTTACGAATGAAGTTTAATAAATATATCAGTGTTACAACTTGCGATTCTCTGATAAAAAGCTGGGTGTCTAGACCAAACAGTCATAAATATATCATATCACATCCAATCCCAACTTCATGGTGATACAGATTATGATAGTTAAATAATATTAAAAGAGTAGCTATAATAATAACATTTGTGCGAAACTCACTTAAAAGCTTTTTACCCCAGCTTTCAAAAGGATAGATTCTATATTTCGGAAATATACGATTCACTTTTGGATTAGACGAATGAAAAATATTTTGAGGTCGACCATTTCGACATAAATTTAAAATATAATTAGATAAATTTACAAATTGTGATTCCATCAGCTCTGTAAGTCCCAAAGACTTCAATTTTAAAATCAATGAGTCAATAAATTCATCCTGTACAAAATTAGAAGAGAAAAAAATCGAAAGTAAACGGTACTTTGTGAATTATAGTGAATTAATTTTTTTTAATAAACGATATAGTCAATCACTTAATGTTGAATAAAATCGAATTAAACCTGTTCGCATACGATTTACAAATGAGATTTATGTGTACTATAGATGTTCGACTGCAGAAGTTAATTCAATGGCGATTGTATGGTAGTTGCGTGGCGTGTGCTACCGATTAGATTTATCAGTACTATATAAACAGACATTCATCAGCATGAAAATATCAAATATAGTAGGGAGATGTATTCAACGTCAGAGACTAAATGATTCAGCGGTGTGGCAAAACATGGGATATGAAAAGGAAAACAAAAATAAACACAACACGAAAGACAGAAGTAGCACAACATGGAAGATCTGTGAATATGGCGATTTGCAGATAAGGTGTACATAATTTCGCTATAGAGAGACACCAAATTCCACATAAGCATTCTTTTATTAAGTCTCTTGTGTTCTACCGTTACAGCTGAAATCACTGAACACGCGTAGTCATAATGATTGACTGGTCAACCTGAGATGTAATGCATTTTATTCTTGAGAAGCAACAACTTTTAGGCAAGAGTTCACTAAGAAAAATTCTAATAACACTGATGAACAATAAATTAACTAATATAAATTTTCATAATTAGACACCAAAACAAAATATTTTTTTCATTTCCCCCACAATGATATTACTGCTTATGCATATCAGTATAATATGCACAATATAATATTAATGCACAAATTCACCACTAATTGTTGGATGGAAAATATGCCGAAAAACCGTCCTTTAACTATAGATATAGATATAGAAAGATTCCTCTAGGAATTAAAGGATATAATAATAATAATAACTATAGATACTACTTCTATGAGTGGAGATGTGATTTATTAGCTTAGGCGCATGGCTTTCAGCCAATGCATCCCGGGTTCGAATTCCACTCCGCCTACCTTGACCTGCGCAACAAGGTAGTACAATCAGTCGCCACACAATAAGTGTGGCTCATATAGCCTGATACTTGAAGAACCTATTTTATTGTTTTATACCATTTCTGTACATTCTCAAGATCATATGATGAAGTCATAAATGCTTTTATATCACAATTATAACTGAAAGATTGAGTTAATGAAGTTGGTACTGAGGTTTTGGGGCCATCTGACGAAGACCAAAAGAAGCAATATATAGACTCAATAATCTAGACGTACTAGCTAGATGATTATCGTTTCGGATATTATTATTAGCACCTACTTTGTCAAGCAAGATATTCTTATGGTATAAAGACAAAAGAGCTTTAAAATAGTCCAAAACTAGATTTTGTAAATCATGAGAAATGTATGATATACTGTCAACGTATTTGAAAGACAAAGAAAATTGTAGTCATATTAGATGTGGGTAAATTCTAAGTAATAGAGATGTTATACACCAACAATCACTTAGTAAAGTTCAAGGTGAGTATAACAGCTTAATTTGTTCCAAATGGGAGCTAGTTCATTCACCAGTGAGAACAGTTTTGAGCCGTGTTACCAATAGGCACCAACTACTGATTCCTAGCCTCTCAAGGACCTCAGCTAGCTAGTTAGGTAACCTACACCTAGCTAAAAGCCACCAATGAAAGAATCAATTTTTACGAAATTATTAATAAGCAGATTTTTACAGTGGACAACATGCTTTCCATATCATATCCGACGAATGTTACTTTAGGAAAGTAAGAAAATAATCATATCTTCACAAAAGTTACACACTATACAGATGAACCAGATATAAACTAATACAGAATAAACTACTTTTTTATTCTATTCCATTTATCTTTGCCATTTTAGGTGATTCCTTTCTCTTATACTGGCTCATTTTGCTATCAGTAAATCATTTACACTCTGTCTATACCAAGAGTATTATTACAGTGTATAAGCAACTGATCTGTTAGAATAAACCCCTTTCACCTTTATTTTGAAACAGTATTTATGTAATGTACAGAATTTTCACCGGAGCTTATTGCATGGTATTTTCTCTTCGTCTATGGTCTTCAAATTAAAGAATAATCGACAGTAGATCGTGTGACGTGCGTCGGTGGCATAGCGGTTAGGACACTCGCCAACTATGCACATGGTCCGGGGTTCAATTCCCGGCCAAAGCACTCCTTTACCTCGCTAAACCAGAAATAATTCTGGTAAAGAGGAAAGGTTGGGCATGAGGCTAGCAACCCCATCCTGTAAAATAAACATTAGCTTGAAGCCCTATGTACCACTGGGGAACGTGAAGGAGAAAAAATCGTGTGACACAGTTCTGTCTGATCTGAAGCGCAAATCAATCCATTATGATGACATCTCTTCTTTATCTCCTTCAAGAAATACACGACAATTAGCTGAATGCCAATTATAAAAAGTTTAGGAGTACATTTTGTGAACCAAGGATACTACTCAGGAACAGTCATCCCATTTATTAGGATAAGCTGCCATCGACGATAATGCTTTTTTTCATGTTTAGCAGAAACTTGCGAATTAGCAAGTCGTAAATGTTTGAAATACCCTCCCAAAGTAAACAATACTATTAGGGATCATACTTTAGTTGGTTTAAACAAACACAACAGAAGAAACTAAATGCAGTATATTGATGGAGGCTTTCAAGCAGCCCAAGTTTTAAGCAGGCCACCATTTGTTTATAGATACAGTTGTAGAGGAAATTTTCGTTTATTTATTATTGTAAACAGATTTTCAGTGATACTCTCGTCATATCAAACTTCACTACATATTCTTATTTTAAAAATGCACATAGAGATAGACAAAAAAAGAATAACTCACATATGGTGAAGTATAACAAGGTGTTTCTCCACTCCGTGTAATAGCGCGTGAAGATTTTCTTTCTTGGAATAACTTTAAAATTTGGCCTAATTTATCTACGCGTAATTGCAAATCAACTGAGGTTGGTGGATTCACACTATTCGATGATGAGTAGGACATGAATACCAAAGCTTCTAAAACATTTCGACTAATTGGTGGATGTAAACTATTCAATAGTACTGCATCATTTGTAAAACAAAAGTGTACAGGTCGTCTGAATTAAAAGAAAATAATTAAAAAAAACCTTGGATAGCAATAACTGAATGATTAAATCATACACATAAAGAGATAAATTTAGTTTGTCCGTAAACTATTCCAAAACTCCAACTGTACTTTGAATACATTTAACTAAGGTAATTAAATAGAGGAATAAAATTGTAAATCATTTTTTGTTCGTTACTATTTACAACACACCAGACTGAGAGTCTAAAAAATAAAGATATCAACACCAAAGGATATAAATTAATTTGGCGGGTGGTGACTAAGAGTGGAATCCTGGATGCACATTTCATCCTATTAGGGATTCATCAGTAGGGTGGAAATGTACCACCACCGACGAGTGATGGTGTCTATACTGAGACTCTAACCCAGTACCCTTAGTCTTGAACACTGAAGTGTTATACACCAGATTACTTGGACCATAAGAGCCAGATCCTTCTAATGCAACGGATATCAATCAATCATTTATTTAAGTCAATTTTGACTACTTCACGTTAATCTTCAGACATTGCTGAAGTTTCCGTACTAGGAGTGAGGATTTCAACGGAGGCCGAACATTTCCATTCAGTTGATCAACGGGAAAATTAAAACTGATTTAAATAACAAACAACATAGTTTAATAATCTAACAATATGAATTGAACAGGTGATGGAAATTAAAGTGAAAACAATGGATAGAAAACAACTAAGCAATAGAAATCGCCTTCAAAATACAGTTAGACTTTAAGGGTATTCCACTACAGTATGAGCAACTTGGTAATAGCCATCAACCTCTTATACACTTGGTGCGGTTTGTAGCCTACTCTGATAAACAAAACGCATATATATATGTCACGTCCTACCTATGGAATTCGGGGAAATATCGTCAGCTGACAATTTTATGAAATCAGTAGTCAGTTCACCATACATTAAAAAAAAACTTGACTGCAAGAAAAAGGATAATATCATTGGTAAAACAAAACCCCTAACTTTAGATTAAGTGATACAAGAGGAGTGAACCACTCAATCTTTTATTGATGCTTCAAGTTGTTTAATACAATATTAAAATTGAAAACATGTGTACATACTTTCCCCTTTATCAGTTTACCTATCATAAAACCTAACACTGACAAAAAAACTTCACTACAACCTATGACATTACCGTCTTGTGGTTTAATTCTAATAAAAATAGATTAAATGAATGAATACACGGTTGGAAAAGTAATTTATGAGAGAGTGGGGATTAAATGAGTTTACGAGTGGTTTGTCGTTTCGATGGCGTCCCAGTTATTGACACCGTTTCAAGAAACTCCTTGAGATATCTGAAAGCCTGTCAGTCCACGTTTAACTATGTCTTGATTATAACTCTGACACGTTAAAAGCTTGATATTCGGTCCATATTCGTCCATATATGTCAGTTTCAACATGTTTCCTTGATTTGCAATATTTTAAAATCTAACTTTTAATAATTTCTATTATTTCTACAGTAATAACTGCATTGAATATGTGAATATCTACCACGATTAATATTATTTCCCTTTTATTTAAGTTAGCAAATTATAACTCAGTTCTCATCAGTCATTTGTTCGCTGTAGGTGAATCTTATAAACTGTAATCACGTTTGTAGAATATTCGGCTGACGACTCTTACCAACATTTTTAAATTCGCTAATTACCGTGTTTTTTTTTCAACAGTAACTGCTCAATTTTCAAGCTTACTGAGTAACACCAACTTTCATTTCTTAATCCTCATCTCCACATTCCCTAATAGATCATTAATCATCACACTGTCGATTCAGTCAACTAAATACTAACTAAAAAAACTACGAGTGATTAATAATTTCTGTACTACATACTTTAATTGAATAGGGACAATTCAGTATGACAATTTGTTTGCATGATAATATAACTCAACATTCCACAAATCTTCTATATTTTATATGAACAAAATTCCCCGACCGAAAGCTGCTACCTTGACGTGGTGGTCAGGCTTGAACACCGCAATGATCTATTCAAGCTATACTGGCTGAGACTTATGTCTCTTGAGGTCCTACCATGCCAGACAGGTTGTTTGGATAGCGGTTAGACCAAAAGCAGCTACCCAATCCAACATCATGATCAATACAAAATCACAAAATTTCATTCCGGATCGGCCGGGGCCCGGATTAACAACGACCGCGCTTCCTGCTGCCGTGTCACAGAGCAGGAGTGATAAATATGCTACTGAGACACACAAAACAATAACGAACAAACAAAAGCAGGCCGCGTGTGACCGGCCTCAAGCAATTGTCCCCTGGGCTCTGTGGTCACGCAACCAACTTCCACGGTGTGGGCAGCCAGCAAGTAACAATCGCCCTCACTATCCGAATGAACAAAATTCAAAACCTGGTTACCTTCTCCACTGTTCAAGTTTTTGAGAACTACAGGATCTTTGGTATCCGAAACACTGATTGTTAAGTTCGAGATTCAGTAGGAATACTATCACCTGGCCGACGAGTTAAATGTAGGGCAAAAGAGGAGTTCTACTTTTCGCTATTATTGACAAATTATCAAGTTACAACACAATGACACAAAACTCCGGTGAGTCATCTGATTTAAAAGAAATAACAAATCACACAGGACAGGTAATATTTTGGCATATGCTACTGATAAGACTTCTTCGTCGGGCAATGTTAGCTGACATAGGGTCAGACTGGAAAAGAGCTAGTGGCGGTCAAACCAAAACATGGAATCAGTCAATGAAATCTACAACAATTAGTCTAAACCAGTCACGTAGGAAGGCGTAGACTTCCTGACTGGTTGGGGTCCTCGGGACGGTAAAAACCAATGGTTGGAAACAATTGATGACATGGCTCAAAACTGTTGTTAATGGCTGGCGCATATGCATCCACTCCTTGTGACTTGTGATTTCCAATGAAACTAAATTGTTCTTCGTTACTACTCTTCCTTTGTTTCACACCTCTGTTTACTGTCTCTATTATGCATTTCTTGTACTTTATTCTGTTGCTTTGTGTGCTACAAGGAGGGAGTGTGGCGACTTGAACTGGTGCACATATGTGCAAAGTTCTACGTCGAAAACAGACAGACAGAGACTGATAAGACTTATCAGTAGCCATAAGGATATCAAATAGCATGCAGATATATTAGAAGTCAAAGACAGCAAATGATTCAGCATTGTGGCAAAACATGGGATATGAAAAGGAAAACAAAAATAAACACAACACGAAAGACAGAAGTAGCACAACATGGAAGATCTGTGAATATGGCAATTTGCAGATAAGGTGTACATAATTTCGCTATACAGAGATACCAAATTCCACATAAACACTCCGTTACCAAGTCTCTTTTCTTCTCCCGTTACAATAATGACATCACTACTCAATTTGCACGAATAGAGAAAGTTTACGCGTTTGATACTATAAGAAATTCAATTCAATTCTATCAGATGACCGGAAATAATCACCAAAAAGAAACTATGGGAACAAACAAAAAAAGAACCAATCGCCCAACAAATACGCAGGAGAAAGTGCAGATGGATTGGACACTCGCTGAGAAGGCCGGTTGGTGACACCGAGCGTCAGGCCACCGCTTGAGTGGAACCCGACAGAATGGGAAGCGACGAGTGGGACGTCAAAGGGTGACATGGAGGAGATCGTGTGAATAGGAGTTGAAACAGTATGAACTAACATGGAGGCAGGTGAAAAGTACAGCAGAAGACAGAAGCAGGTAGAGACGTGCAGTTGAAACCATATGTTCCACTAGGAACCCAAGGGAACAATAATAACAACATAATAATAGTACACCTATTCGATAGACATTCATTAAAATTAACTATCAAAAAATAGTTAGAACTAGAAAATAAGAATTATCTTAATTTTGAAATGAGAAATCAAATGGTAATCAAATTTGTTAGAATGGGTCATAAGCAGTTTGGTTATGCAATTTAGCTGTAGAAAAGAAATGCAACTGGCCATTTAGTCAATCTGGAAACACTTATTTAGTTAATTGGCCTATGCAAACATGTAATGATATCTGTCTTTCAATGACTAGAATATTCCTAAACATGAAACTATTCACTGAAACAAAACAAATGGTATTTATTCAGACTGAAGACAGTGATACAGTGTGCTATTAGTAAAATAAATACACAAACAAAAATTTGGCTAAATTAACTTGTAAAATGGAATAATCACTTTCCACTCTGGATATGAAGAATTATCACTCACCGAAAGACAGTTTTCTTGACTTCACTGTTTACTAAACGTGCATAAATACTGGCAGGGCTACAAATACCTGGCCAAAAATGATGTATCATAGGCTCTGTATCTTCTTCTTGACTCATAATTCGTGATTGTGATTTTTCAGAAAAGTTGACAGCAAGCCGAGCAAATGTTGTAATGTAAGCAATACATGCCTGACGAATGCGTAGCGATGGATGTGCAGTTAAAGCAAGAGCACTAGTCAAAAATGAAACAGCTATAGGTGCGCTAAGTAGTCGTCGACGTAACAGATTAATTAAACATTTTAGGCACTCCTCAATAACCATATCATCTGGATCAATAAGACCTTGTTCAAGTAATGATCGAAGGATGGTAACCGACTGAGCTCCAATTAATGTAGCCAATGGAGAAACTTGTCGAAAAAAGGCTGCCCTTAGGTCAGGTTTAACCTATTGAAACAGACGAAAAACACTTAGTTTACAAACACAAATAATATTTATGATGCTTGAAAATACTAAGGAAAAGAAATGTTTTGCCTTTATAGTGTTAAAGCAATCCTATATGTCCTGATTAAAGCTGGAACATAGAAACTGTGGTTGCATTAGCCTTGTAAGCTACATCAAGTGAAAAATTTGATTTCAGACATCATCACAGCAACAGAATTTACTAAAGCAAAACCAGCTAGTATCACCTTCTAGTTTCAACACTATGTACACCAAAAAACTGACTGACTGACTAATTAATAACAAATTATTAAGGGTGAAACGGCAGAGAAAACTAAATTGGAAGTGTTAATGAAACTGCGGATTATTGGGGACAAATGTCGTACATTACAGAACTTGACACTATTATGAACCCAACTCAAAACTGTCTTTTCAACAATGACTATCACAAAAGTGTGTGATCATTTACACGAATGCTTTACTTTCCTAGTTCTCGGAATCATTAAAAGTAGCCTGCATAACGTCAATTTTGATAAAAAACTTTGGACGACTTCAACTCTAAATGAACGCTTATAGATATATATAATATATATAATTAATAAATTCATTAGAAAAAATATCTTACTTTATCGTTTAAATATGTGATCATATGTGATAAAAGTGTTCCATTTGTACGTGAACGACCAAAGAACGATGCTAAAGATGATAGACTATGCGTATTCATCAATCCTAGACGAACATTTGGATCGGTGTCTGAGAATAGTGCAACTAATCTCTCTTGTATACATGATTTTAATATAGATAAATGAGTGTCCAGTGTTTTTTGATCACTTTGATAGTCATGCACAAAATCAGGAGACTTTATCCAAGGAGAGGAAAAAACAATTTTGTTTTGAAAATATTAAAAGAAAAGAAAAAAAACGATAAATGGTGTAGTTTCAATTACCAACTAATAAGTTGGATACTGAATTAAAATTAAATTAAAAACCAATGAGCTGATCACTTCGAAAGTCACTTGAACTGACCATCGCCTACAACTCGCTCAGAAATTCCACCACCACCAACAGCACGTACAGAACCATCTGCCGGTGGATACCAATCCTCCAAGGATAGCAGAAATCTTGAACGCGATCAAGCCAATTAAGTCCGGGAAGACAGAAGGACCAGACGGAATTCCCCCTTTTCGGAGCGCTGAAAACGGAGCCAGAGACTGTGGCAGTTATGATGACGTCATTATTGCAAAAGGTTTAGGAGGAAGGAGAGGTACCTACTGGCTACCTTGTCAAGCTGCGAAAGAAGGGCGACTTAAGCCTCTGCAGACACTACCATGGAATAATACTCTTGTTCACGTCAAGCAAAATACTAAGTCGCGTCATCCTGGAGAGAATAAAAGATGCACTGAATGCAGAACTCCGCCAGCCTAACCGGAAAAGCTGGATTCAGATTCGGGTAAGACAAATCATGAGCTGATTAGAATGCAACTCCACGCATCGTGATCACAGAACAAAGCATAGAATGGCAGTCAAACCTCTAACTCAACTTCATCGAATTTGAAAAGGCTTTCTACAGACAGCATTGACCGAGAAGTGATGTGGACAATAGGTGACATGGCTCAAAATCGTTGTCAATGGCCAGCGCAGATGTATTCAGTCTCTGTAATCTTTCATATTCCTTTCTACCATTACCCATTCTGTTTCACTCTTATACTTGTCAGACTGTATTGATTCTCTTCACTCATCTTCTTGTCTACCTCTGTGTTCTATTTGGAACGTGGCAACTGGAACTGGTGCACTTCGGTGCCAAGTTCTATGTTGAATCCAGACAGACAGACAGATGTGGAAACTGCTTTAACACTACGGCATGCGGTGCCCAAGTCTTTATCAACATCATTAAACAGCTGGCTATATGACAATGCCACGTGTCAGGTGATGTACAACGGAAAACTCAATGAAGCCTCTGAATTAAATACAGGAGTAAGACAAGGCTATCTATTATCACTCAGGATGATATTCCTAATTGTGGTGTACTACTTTATTATGCATCAGTCTGTGTATTGGAAGTAAGAAGACAGGAATACGTTGAACCACCGATATTAAGACTCTAGAGGATCTGGATTTCGAAGATGATTTATGCTTACTGCCACACAAACTCGAACATTTCCAGGCGAAAACCAACAAGCTAGCTGAAGAGGCAGGTAGCGAAGACAGGACTCCAGGTGAAAATAGAGAAGACGGAGGTGATGAAGATAACCCACCAACAGAAACGATACCACCAACGAAAGAGATTTGAAAGAGGTTACTTCCTTCACTTATCTAAGAAGGTTAGTTTAAACCACAGGGGGAACAGATGAAGATGTCAAAGCCAGAATCGAAAAGACAGATCAGATTTTCATCAATCTGAAACCGGTTTGGTAATCTTCTGCATTTGCCAACAAGAATAAAATTCGGATTTTCAACACAAATGTTAAGTCAGTCAGTTATTCTACATGGGTTAGAAACCTGGGGCTCACATCACGAAAAGTATTTCTGGCAGGTTTCAGACTTTCATCAATACCTGCCGTAACTCCACATTGAGGATCTAATGGCCAAAAAGAATCAGAAACAGCAAAACATGGAAACAAACCAACAAAGAACCTACTGCTTAACAAATGTATGGAAGAAAATGGAAATGGACTGGGCACACGCTGAGGAGACCGTCGAATGACATCGAGTGCCAGGAGAACCCACAAGTAAACCCGAATGGGAAACGACGAGCGGAGCGTCCAAGTGTGATATGGGGAAGATCATACAAGTAGGCGATGAGAGATTATGGGCAATCGTGGGCCCAGACAAAGAGGACGGCAGAAAATAGAACAAAGTGGAGATGTGTTGTTGAAGCCCTATATTCCACTCGGAACCCAAGAGAAAAATAATAATATCCACCTAAATAGGTAGATGACTTGGCACGTCATGAAAAGCATTTCCAACATGCATACAGACCTGCCTTCGGCTGATACTGAAAATCACATGGCCAGAAAGAATTAATAACAAAGAACTCTGGCAAAGAACCGATTCCCCCAACAAACTTGCCAAAGGGAATGGAGAAGTATTGGACACACCGTCGAGTGACATCACGCGCCACACCCTCGATTGGAACGTGAATGGGAGGTGAGGTGGGCCTGGGTCTGAGGGTGAAATGGAAGAGATCATGTAAGAAGAAAATTAAAGCATATGAGCAATTGTGTAGCCAGCTCAAAAAGACAGAGGAGAACAGAGTGAAATGTAGATGTGCTGCTGTGTTTCAGTAGGGAATAATAATATAATAATAAACAGGCGGATGGAATATGATCTCAACCAATATTCCCCATTACCAAATATCGCCTTATGATTATCTCTACAAGTATGAAACACTACTCAGATATGTAAGATTAGAATTAGTTTCCATTCACCTTTCGTTTACTTAGGCTAAAATGTGTATTTAATTCAGTAAATATCACTATACAACGCTATAAAATAACATCTTACATTCATTGAGGAATTCAAACATTCTAGAATAATAGAAAGTAAAATACTTTTGTGGATTTTTTTTCTCTAAATGAAACAGAGAACGAAACAAGTAAACAGATAGTTTTTTCTAAACACATGCTGTCAAATACTCTGATTTCTTTTACCTACTGTCAAATAACCATACGACAATTAGACATACTGATTAATCACACGTCATGGCAAAATATATTACTTAAACAATATAGACAAACGATTTATGACGGCCTTGTTTTTGTTTATTATTCGATGTTTCTACCAATCATACGCTGTATGCCATATCATATACAGTGGAGGCTGAATGCATGTGAATACAAATGTGGCACAATATGATATATATATTGATTTTGATTGATTTTCATATGTGCTTCAAACACTCGATCAAATCTATATCAATCACACCTAGATCAGTCATCGTTAGAATAGCATCGTATATCACACTTAAGTTATAAGAAATTTAAAGATTATTATAAACATATGGTTACAATACTAATCAGTACCATAATATATATATATATATTTGGCGACGTTAGAATAGATTGTTTATATTCTAAAGAATAGCAACAATGAAGGTGATAATGAGGTGGATAAGGTAAATTGATCATAAGTTAATACAGAGACCAACTTGGAGATAGGGCTAACATCAACGCTACCCCACACCGAAAGAGTTGTATAACCTAATTAATTTGTGCAAATTTACACGACACAATGAGAATGTTTTAAGATATCATAGGGAAGTAGTGTTGAAACAATGTATATGTGGCCGTTGGAACAAGTAAAGTTGAGAAGAGATAAAAGAGAATCGTAGAAAAGATATTTAACAAATACAAGTTGTTCACAATAAACTCACTTTATGTTTGACATCTGTCGACTCAGCACGCATCTTTGATATGATATTAAGAAACCTAACAGATTAGAGAATAAAATCTCAATGAAAACAAGGATTCAAAAGCCATTACTGGTCAGTAATACGAATCCAAAAGGATATTTCATCTCTTTTTCTAAATTGACCAATTAAATATATTTTCAATTACCTGAAGCACAAGCTTATCATGAACATCAGAGAGTGTGCTATGGGTGTTTCAGATTTTCAGTAGAGAGAGGTTTCGTGTGCATTTCGGATTGTGAGGGCGATTGTTACTTCCCGGCTGCCCACACCGTGGAAGTTGGTTGCGTGACCACAGAGCCCAGGGACAACTGCTTGAGGCCGGTCACACGCGGCCTGCTTTTGTTTGTTCGTTATTGTTTGGTGTGTCTCATAGTGTTGGATTGGGTAGCTGCTTTTTGTTTAACCGCTATCCAAACAACCTGTCTGGCATGGTAGGACCTCAAGAGACATAAGTCTCAGCCAGTATAGCTTGAATAGATCATTGCGGTGTTCAAGCCTGACCACCACGTCAAGGTAGCAGCTTTCGGTCGGGAAACAATTGGTGACATGGCTCAAAACCGTTCTCAGTGGCGCAGATGCATCCACTCCCTGTGACTTATGATCTTCAATGAAACTGTTTTGTATTTCTTTATTACTCCTTTGTCTCACACCTCTGCTCACTGTTTCTATTATGCTTTTCTTGTACTTTCTTCTCTTGCTTCGCGTGCTACACGGAATGTGGCGACTTGAACTTCTGCACATTTGTGCAAAGTTCTATGTCGAAAACAGACAGACAGACAGACAGATTTTCAGTAATCAACTATCGCAAAATAAGAAATAAATCTTAGTTAAAGCTTTGACATTTATTTGTTTTAAGATAAATCAATCAATTCCTACTGCAACAAATGATTACTTCAGCTCCCACTACTGGTGATCACCAAGTAAGTAAAGTGATTATTGAAGTTTTCATATAAGGAAGTGAATGATTTACTCGTAAAATTAGCACCAGGAAATTCCAAACAAGATTCATGAAACGAAAAACAATCTTGAAAGATTCGCATACTGTAGTGACTGGGATGACTGAATAATCCGGTCAGCAAGAGCTAATGATAAACTTTAACAGGCAAGTTATAGTGAGTTTAGTGCTGAAGACGTTATCAAGCCTAGAAATAAAACAGTTACGATCAAATAGTAAATCTCGAAAGACACTTAACAAATTCAAAGCTTCTGTACTTGAAACCTGAATGAATACAAGAAAACATTTCTAATGACAGGTACAGTCGATGAATGAATTCTCCATAGAATGAAATACACATTGCTGAAATGTTTCAACAAACAGCAAATACATACCACCTATGACTATCAGTCAGTTATTTTAAAACAGAATTTTAAAAGTATTCATAATTACATACGCCAGTTGTAGTAGATAACTCATTTGAAACTTATAATTTGTTATAAAATCTGTTAAGTGAAAATAATTTATCGTTTAGTGTAGAGATGTAGCACATTGGCTTAAGCAGCCGACTTTCATCCAATGAGTCCTGAGTTCGAGCCCGGCTTTACTCACATCAGCCCTCACACAATAAATGTTGGCTCATAGCCAGCAACATGAAAAATTCGTTTCGGGTGACTGATTCCTATCGAAACCAAGCTAACCTTATCACTTAAGTGAAATAAAATTGGAAAGAAGAGAACACCAAGTACAGCGAAGATATCTTTACGGCGATTTCATTTTCAAAAGCTGTAATGTAAAATTACATTTTACATAGAAAATGATGTATTTAAATGCGATTGTACAGCTTTTGAAAATGAAATTGCCGAAAAGATATCTTTGCTGAGCATTGTGTTCTCTTCTTTCTAATGTCATAATGGGTGTTTTCCACGATCTGAAATAAAATTGCCTTGAACTGTTGAATGTATGATAAAATACCCCTGTCCTATACAAGTGAAAGCTCTGGCTTTACTTTCTATAGTACATTTGTGTATAAAACAATCTGAAATTTTCTACTACACCTAACATATCATTGATCTGGTGTATTGATGAACAACATGATTTAAGGATTCTCATTTACATACTGTTAACCAAATGCATATAAATGTAAGTGTAAAAAAACCCAAGCACTGATTTAACATTTTCTGATCTCCTATAAGGTCACAATTAAAAACGGATATGTATATGAAAAGTCATAAGTATCTGATAACATTTAAGAAATGTTCGAGTTTAGCTGAGACATTTAGCTTAAAGGGATAAATGTGTTAATGAATATTTAAAAACAAAAGAGATGAAATAATTTTTAAAAATCTATTAAATACGCAAAGCTATTGTCTGAAGTGAAATGGTAGAGCATGTTGACCGCTTCACTTAATTGAGAAGTACCATCAGCCAGTGCCTAGTCATCGCCTTCCTCGACAATGGGCGATGTTAGCTGATATGGGGTCAGGCTGGAAAAAAGCTAGCGGAGGTCAAACAAAAACATGGTTTCACCAGTCAATGAAATCTACGACAGTTAGTCTAAGCCAGTCACGTAGGAAAGTGTAGACTGGCTTCCTGGTTGGGGTCCTCGGGACAGTAAAAACCAATGGTTGGAAACAATTGGTGATATGGCTCGAAGTCGTTCTCAATGGCTGGTGCAGATGCATCCACTCCTTATGACTTATGATTTCCAATGAAACTATATTGTTCTTCGTTATTACTATTCCTTTGTCTCACACCCTGTTTACTTTCTCTATTATGCATTTCTTCTACTTTCTTCTGTTGCTTTGTGTGCTACAAGGAGGGAGTGTGGCGACTTGAACTGGTGCACACATGTGCAAAGTTCTATGTCGAAAACAGACGGACAGACAGACTGTCTGATTTGATACACAATGTCCACCTGGAACAAAAGTAGATCCAATGAAATTTAAAACTGCCTATGCTAAGACAGACTATGAAGTTGTCGGCTCCTTCTGTAAACATTACAAAAAAATAAACTAAACTTCTCTCAAATAGCATAAATTGGTTGTCTAAAGTATTGCAAAGAAGATGTATTAAAATCATTATAAAAATTATAGAACTAAACTATTCAAGTTGCAAACAGTTGTAATCATCACCTTCATATGAATAATGTTAATACGCTTACTTATGACTATTCTAGTCACACATATCAACTGAAGTTGGCTAGAAAAGCTGTAGTGTGATAGCAATTGAACCAACAATCTTTAGATTGACTGTTATGTTCACTACACAACTAAATACATCACAAAAAGATAAGTATGTGTCACCTGATTGGTATTCATAAATCCTGACTTTCGCTGACATTATCGCTTTCTAACTACTGATTTACTTTTACACTAGTATTTCGAAGTATCATAGTTTGAAGAGATTATATATGCCAGTGATTTAACATATATATAAAAAAGTGATTGATTAGTTTTTTTTACGACTAACAAGAAAGACAAAAACAAATTTTTAATAGGAAAATTTGGATTTACTAACGTTAAAGAACATGTTGCCAAGGTAGGCAGACATCGGGCTAGCGTTAATCGTACTTCAGGTTTCGGATCCATACTGAGAGGCGATAAATTCGGGAAAAGATATTCTGTTAAAAATGTCTCCTCTAAAAATGATGTGTACTCTGTGAGATTTTCACACTTTTTTGTAACCAATTTAAAAATATGCGTTAGAGAATCAACAGCTAGACTTCGAACTTCACCAGAATGCGATGTTGTCGTCAATTCCATACAATAAGGTATGATACGATCCATAAGTAAACTAGGCTGCATATATGATGCTATCTCCAAAAGGCATATCAATGCATTCACTTTACCAGTTTCACTTAAACGATTTGATTGTGTTTTCTGATATACTGTGGAAGTATTCAAATTGCTTCGTACTGCACTGAAAGGATCAACACTAATTTTATTAACTTGTGTTAAAATTGGTAGGTCAGCAGCTGTGATCGGAGTTTGTGTAGTTTGACTATACGATGTAGGTCGTAAAGCACTGATAATAAGATTACACAAAATAACTGACACTGTGCTTAAATTTTCTGATCCCGTGTCAGCAACTTGTTGAAGGAAGTTTGTCAGAGTTCTACGATAAAATAAAAGAAAACAAGCAAACTGTTTTAGGAAAACAATGAACCAATCAAGACTTACGATCAAAAAACAAAAAATAAATTCTACAGAGTTGTACTTTAGAGTAAAGATGGTAACCGTTAAAGATTGTTCCAAAGTCGATATTTTGACGACAAACATCTAATCAGTAATTCACGTACTAATGTTGATGATGACACTTCGCACGATGGCAATACATTCACAACTAAGGCTTGAAGAATGCCCAATAACTATTTAACGTATCTATGCGGGAAATTAAACACAACTCTAAAACCGAAATGCCCTTTGTGCACCTACATTGCCAACCATACAGATCAATAAAAACAAAGCCCTTCAAACCAATCATTTCCTTGAACATTGTTAGGCTAAGTATGCTACCGGAAATCAATTAAACTTCTTGAGCATTCGCAGGTCCATAAGAAAACAGGAGTAACGAATAAAATTACAGAGATGTATCTCTGTTAAGATTTTTGAACATCTACTATGGTAGATTTATTTCTATAAACCCCAACTATTTAAAATATATCATAAGTATGAAACATTACACATACACTGTTCAATCATAGTCACTAGAACATTCGCCTGCTTGATTTATGAACTTGTAACTAGTGTGATAGGATTTCAATACTTTGATTTTCCTCTTAATGTTATGAAATATAGCTCTTGATTAACACAAAGCCAACTGAAACTGATTCTATAGATGTGGTGTTTGTGATCATCTGCCTAGAATTGTAGAGCAACCGAAGAGACGAGAGTGTGAAACGACTAATAAAGCAATCAGCAACTGGAGTCAAACTGGTGGAGGTGGCAACAACATCTCAGATAAACATTGGATACTTGTTTCATCCTAACTTAAAACTTCTCAAAAGTTAAGGAGACTTTCCTTACTATCAGTCAATCAAACACTACTCAACTGATGAATAAGTCAGTAAGAGAGCTAACTTCCTAATAGGTGTCACCAAATGTCTGAAACTGAAACCTTGGCGTATGAGATTAAACTAACAGTCAACAAAAACTAATAATCATCGAAGAAACTGAGAACAACAGTCACACTATATAGTGAATTGAAAGAAGTGACTAAATGGCATCAGATTCGCAGCGAAATCGGATAGTTCTTGGTTGAATCTTACATTGGGTGAGTGTCAGTGTGTGTGTCAACATAGATATGAGGAGAATAACTCTCTTGGAAAAATATCCAGGCAGCCATAGATACAGCTGTAAAAGCTGTGAATAAGGTAAACCCAAAGGTGAGTAAAAACCACTGGATCTCCACCGCCTCATCCGAACTGATAGATGCTAGAAGACTTATTCCGGCGAGCTCCGAATTCAATGAGGAGCGAAAGCTGCACAAGAGGAAACTTACGAAAAGTCTCCGCAAGGACCGTGAACAGTGGTGGGCGACAAAAGCCAAAGAGATGGAGAAAGCTTTGAGGATAGGCAACACCAGGCAACTCTTTGGACTCATCAGGGAAACGGGTGGGAGAAGACAAATCATTAGTGAGACAATCTCGGAAAAAAATGGCACTATAATTAGCTCACAGGATAGACGACTGGATCGTTGGAAAGAGCATTATGAGGAGCAGTTTAATTTGCCCACAGCCACGCTCAACCTTCCGAGCATCCAACACCTCCCTGAATGGGATATAGATACAGGTCCTCCGTCACTAACTGAGGTTACTAAAGCTGTCACCAATCTGAAACTAGGCAAAGCAGCGGGACCTGATGGAATGACGCCAGAGGTATTTAAGTACGGTGGAGACAGCTTACTGTCCGGATTAACTGAGGTACTAGGCAGCGTTTGGGAATCAGAAGAAGTCCCATCGGGTTGGTGTAAGTCACTGATTATCCCCATATACAAGAAGGGAGACAAGTCTTCCTGTGATAATCACAGAGGGATTAGCTTGACTAATATAGTATCTAAAGTCTTAGGCTCAATAATCATGCGTAGACTGAGTGGTGCTCGGGAAGCACAAACACGAGAGAGCCAGGCAGGCTTTAGACCAGGAAGAGGGTGTATTGATCATATCTTCACCCTCCGACAGATTCTAGAACATAGGCATTCCTACCGGCGTCCAACAGTCATTATATTTCTTGACCTAAAGGCAGCATTCGACTCTGTCGATCGGGAAGTTCTCTGGAGATGCTTGGCTGTAAAGGGAATTCCAAGAAAATATATTGCACTGATTAAGGCACTCTATTCGTACTCATACAGCCAGGTGAGGGCTTACGGCGAGCTGTCATCTGAACTGATGACGACCAGTGGTGTCCGTCAAGGATGCCCATTATCTCCTTTTCTATTCAACTTCATCATAGATGTGTTAATGGACTTAACCCTAGGTGACTTCAGCGATTCAGGGATTGACTTGCTACCAGGGAATAATCTCGTTGACTTGGAATATGCAGACGATATAGTCCTTCTAGGCGAAGACGCTGACGAAATGCAGAGTCTTCTAAACACCTTGAACAGCAATCTACGAATGTTTGGCATGCGATTCGCTCCCGCCAAATGCAAGATGATGTTACAGGACTGGACTACATCGACGCCTAGTTTAAAAATAGGAAGTGAAGTGGTAGAGCACGTTGACCGCTTCACTTATTTGGGAAGTACCATCAGCCCCAACGGGCTGATCTCTGACGAAATCTCAGCACGAATACAAGGGGCTCGTTTCGCATTTGTTAGTTTACGCCGACTCTGGCGTAGACGAGATGTTCGACTATCGACCAAAGGGCGGGTGTACTGCTCATCAGTCCGCTCCGTCCTCCTTTATGGTTGTGAGACCTGGCCACTGAGAGTGGAAGACATGAAAAGACTAGCTGTCTTTGATCATAGGTGCCTGCGTTCTATTTCCCGTGTAAAGTGGCATAATAAGGTGAGCAACATGGAGGTTAGGCGTAGAGTTCTAGGTAAACAGGGGAAATCAATCGACGAAGTCGTGAAGCTACAAAGACTGAGATGGTTAGGACATGTGTTACGTATGCCAAGCCATCGCCTCCCTCGACGAGCTATGTTAGCGGATATAGGGTCAGGCTGGAAAAAAGCTAGCGGCGGTCAAACAAAAACTTGGCATCAGTCAATGAAATCCACAACAGTTGGTCTTAGCCACGTAGGAAGGTGTAGACTTCCAGGCTGGGGTCCTCGGGACGGTAAAAATCTATGGTTGGAAACAATTGGTGACATGGCTCAAAATCGTTCTCAGTGGCGCAGATGCATCCACTCCCTGTGACTTATGATCTTCAATGAAACTGTTTTGTATTTCTTTATTACTCCTTTGTCTCACACCTCTGCTCACTGTTTCTATTATGCTTTTCTTGTACTTTCTTCTCTTGCTTCGCGTGCTACACGGAATGTGGCGACTTGAACTTCCGCACATTTGTGCAAAGTTCTATGTTGAAAACAGACAGACAGACGCACAACACTATCGTTTTTGTTATTCAACCCAAATAAAAGACTTCAATAATAATTTTATACTTACTTCGATAACTAATGTGACAGAATTGAATCTCTGTCCATCATAATCAACCGTAATAAACTAATTTACACATACAGCCGAAATCTGCCGGTAGGCAATTATCCAGATAGTGTACACAAACATGAGTTACACCATAAAGTTGATGGTGACGACTGTAAGTAAGATCCCAAACTTAGTTGTAAATAGCTCACATATCGCATCTTTTGATCAGCCTGAAGGATAATACACATTAATACATTCCCTATTTGACTACAACTAATAAAAAGCATAAGGATCACTTACGCATTCGTCACCAAGTCTACATAGAGTGAAAACAAGTGACAGGAATTCAGAATAACTGAATTCATGACAGCGGTTCGAACTCCCGAATACATAAAGCTATTCTGTTAAACCACAATAAATATGCTTAATTTATCTATACCACACTATTGATAAAGGCAATTACAGAGAGCCTGTCTTCTTTAAAAATCCTCTTTAGCATAATTGAACTCTTGAAATTATAACACAACATTATTAAATTAGCCGATATTATAGTATACGGCCACAATGGTATCTTAGTACAGTGAAAATAATATCTTCATCAACAAAACTAGATTATAGACATTTTAACAATATATTAATAACTCAACTAAACTATACCCCATGTAACGGTGCATCAGTAGTAAAATGTTAGAATCTTCACCAGCCACACATGTGGTCCGGGATTCAATTCCCGACTGACGTACACTTAACACCTCGCTTAGCCGGTAACAAGCCTCGTAAAGAGGAAAGGTTGAGCGTAAGACTGGCAATCCCACATCATAAAAAAACACCACTGCTGAAACTTCAAAGATGTAGCTTGAAATACTATTTTTTACTCAGAACTCAAAGGATATATATATATATATATATATATGACTCAAACATCTTACACTCACAGTCTAAGAAATGATATTCTTGAGTCAGGACAGTTTAATACTGGATTCAAAAAATTTCGAAGATATGGTGACAAGTGTGTATAAAAGACACTTGGGAAAGTTTTTCCTCTTTGTTGCTTCAAATGTTCAGCAGCTGTGTAGCGTCCTTCTTTACCCAATGACAGCAGTGTATAGATCAGAGACTAAACAATGTGTAAAAAAAAGTACATTTCTGGCGAGTTACATACTGGAGAGTAAACAAAAAGTTTATCACAATTACCAAATGGACGTTTAAGTAACATAAATTTAAATTTATATAATTGTTGTATAAATAGTCCAGATTCAATGTAATTTAGTGTGGTTTACATATGCTCAGTGCCCTCTATCGTAATAAATAATATTGGGATATCATCAAAGGTACAAACTTGAATGAAAGCTAGTTTCATTTAATTTTATAAGGAAATAGAAAGCTTGGTGATGTTGAATCATTAGTCTCCATTTTTTCCTTCACTTTCCCAATGGAACATAGGGCTTCAAGCAAGTGGCTTGAAGTTTCTGTAGCAGTGTTCATTTTACAGGATGGGGTTGCTAGCCTCATGCCCAACCTTTCCTCTTTACCAGCATTATTCCTGGCTCAGCGAGGTAAAGGAGTGCGTCAGCCGGGTATCGATCTCCGGACCATGTGCGTGGTCGGCGAGCGTCCTAACCGCTATACCACAAACGCACACTAGTTTCCATAGTAAAGTTCTTCATCTAAGCCATTATCTTTGTTATTGCCTAAACAGCAGTGCTGACTGAAGTAAGATTAGGTACGAATGATCAGATGAAAAACTAAAAAACTTGTTGGTGAAATGACTGAATACTGATTTGAGTCACATCTAGGTGTGCTTTTGTCTGGTTGGGAACTCCAGCTGGCTAATACTTAACGTTTGAAAACTCATTGAAACAGCTCGAAATTGTTTAAAAAGGTGCGGATGTATTCACTTTTTTGATTTTCGAAATTCTGAAAATCCTCACTAATAGTCGTCTTATTATTTTTCCTTATTGTAACAATACATCTCTGCTTTCCTCTTTTTGTGCTTTAATAGGCTTTAACAGTAACCTGAAGAGAAACACTTTTCCGCATCAATCTGTTTTACTGTGTATATGTTACAACTATATGCAAGTTAGCGCAATAAGAGTCACATCTATTTTACAAGGGCTACTAATAACAGTTGACTGCCTAAATCTTGGAAAGCAGAGCAGGATTCGAGCCTGTGGATCACTAGTTGAAAATTTCTTATCTGATTTACTGAATTACAGAGCCTGAAATGTAGTAAATATGTATGAAGAACGAACTTCGTGTGATTCGTATGGAAACTGAAATATTGCTCCAATAGTGCCAATAAAAACAGTTAGTTATTGTAAGCGATCGCTTCGATTGAAATATAATTTATGAAATAGTCGGTTGTGAAGCGAAATTCAAAACCGGTTCACCTGTTGCTAGTTGATTCATACTTTGACATTTTTTAAAGTCAAAATATTTCAGCTCCAAACATACACAACTTGTCTTAAATTCAGAATACCAACATAAACTGACAGATATAAATTCCACCTAAAGAGCACCATCTACACACTATAACTATCTGTATAACTATATTGACCTTGACTAAATAGTGTCAGGTTATTTTAAAAGGCCAAATAATTACCATTACTTAATTTGTAAAAGTATACTAAAACAGATCACCATTAGAATAAATATTAAAATTGTAACAGATTCAGTTAAGTCGTACGATTTTATGTGCAGACAATATAGAGTTCATAAAAACTACATTTGAGGGGTTAAGAAGAGTTAAAAGTTTAAAAATACAAATACTATACGCCAAAAGTCATATAAGGTGATATAATAAAATCAATATTAAAAATTCTTATCTGAACATTTGTTTGCATAATCATGCCAGTTTGCATTATCCTTGTTTATCACAAATCGCTCCATTTAAAAAAATCTTTTTTCTAATAGAATTATTGTTATTATTATAACTAATTGTACAACTTATATGCACAGTCATATCATCCTGGTGATAAAGAATTATTTCAGAGAAGTACTGATTTTAATATAAACCGGGTATTTTAATTCACGTACCAGTACTGATTATAGAAGCAGCTTTGGAATTTATACAGAGTGATGAAAAACAAGGCCCACTCCACACACAAAAAAAAACATCATGCATTCTAATGAGATAAAGAAACATAACCTCCAATACAACCAAATAAACCATCATAATCCCTTTAAAAGAATTAGAGAAAACATGAAAGCTTTGTAATGACAAAAATAGGTACAGGCAATATCTGAAATTATGAATAGAATTGATCATAAAATCAATGCATTTGAGTACTTCACTAAAGGACTGTCTGTTTTCGACATAGACCTTTGCACATATGTGCACCAGTTCAAGTCGCCATACTCCCTCCTTGTAGCACACAAAGAAAGAGAAGAAAGTAGAAGAAATGCATAATAGAGAAAGTAAACAGGGGTGTGAGACAAAGGAATAGTAATAACGAAGAACAATATAGTTTCATTGGAAATCATAAGTCACAAGGAGTGGATGCATATGCACCAGCCATTGAGAACGGTTTTGAGCCATGTCACCAATTGTTTCCAACCATTGGTTTTTACCGTCCCGAGGACCCCAACCAGTCAGGAAGTCTACACCTTCCTACGTGACTGGCTTAGATTAATTGTTGTAGATTTCATTGACTGGTGAAACCATGTTTTTGTTTGACCTCCGCTAGCTATTTTCCAGCCTGACCCTATATCAGCTAACATCGCCCATTGTCAAGGAAGGCGATGACTAGGAATACGTAACACATGTCCTAACCATCTCAGTCTTTGTAGTTTTACAACTTCATCGATTGATTTCCCCTGTTTACCTAGAACTCTACGCCTAACCTCAATGTTGCTCACCTTATTATGCCACTTTACACGGGAAATAGAGCGCAGGCACCTATGATCAAAGGCAGCTAGTCTTTTCATGTCTTCCACTCTCAGTGGCCAGGTCTCACAACCATAAAGGAGGACGGAGCGGACCGATGAGCAGTACACCCGCCCTTTGGTCGATAGTCGAACATCTCGTCTACGCCAGAGTCAGCGTAAACTGGCAAATGCGAAACGAGCCCCCTCTATCGGTGCTGAGATTTCGTCAGAGATCAGCCCGTTGGGGCTGATGGTACTTCCCAAGTAAGTGAAGCGGTCAACGTGCTCTACCACTTCACTTCCTATTTTTAAACTAGGCGTCGATGTAGTCCAGTCCTGTAACATCATCTTGCATTTGGCGGGAGCGAATCGTATGCCAAACATTCGTAGGTTGCAGCTCAAGGTGTTCAGAAGACATTTTTTCAGCGTCCTCGCCTAGAAGGACTATATCGCCTGCATATTCCAAGTCAACGAGATTATCCCCTGGTAGCAAGTCAATCCCTGAGTCGCTGAAGTCACTTAGAGTTAAGTCCATTAGTACATCTATGATGAGGTTGAATAGAAATGGGGATAATGGGCATCCTTGACGGACACCACTAGTCGTCACCACTTCAGATGACAACTCGCCGTGAGCCCTCACCTGGCTGCATGAGTACGAGTAGAGTGCCTTAATCAGTGCAATGTATTTTCTCGTCATTCCCTTTACAGTCAAGCATCGCCAGAGTACCTCTCGGTCGACAGAATCGAATACCGCCTTTAGGTCAAGAAATATAATGATTGTTGGACGCCGATAGGAATATCTACATTCTAGAATCTGTCGGAGGGTGAAGATATGATCAATACACCCTCTTCCTGGTCTAAAGCCTGCCTGGCTTTCTCGTGTTTGTGCCTCCCGAGCACCACTTAGTCTATGCATGATTATTGAGCCTAGGACTTAAGGTAATATATTAGTCAGGCTAATGTCTCTGTGATTATCACTGAAGGACTAAACTGAGCTTATAGATGGGGGGTGAAGAGGAAATCTGCAGAAATTAACAATATGAAACTCAATACAGTCAAACGTTTTCAAGAACTTAAACTCAAAAGTAGGGACTAAATTTAGTTCACTTTCACATCGGAGTCGTACGTACACACATGTCTTCCAGATTCCCCTACATATGCATAAACTTTTAATACCTTTAAAAACCAATCGTAGACCTCAACAATACACCCATATAAAACTCTTTAAAATATTTATTCTCAAAATTGACACTCCTACTGAAGCACTCTGAATGTATAATTGTTGATTTATTTGACTCCAAACCTGTAATATGATGATCAGAATTTTGGAAGTATAAAATTATGGTCAGCTTAAGAATTAAATCGCTAAACACTAGCATTCCAATCATCGATAACTTAGATGTTTAGCACTTATAAACAGTGAACAGAATAATGGCTAATAATCATCAGTGTCACCACTAAATGGTAGAAATTTTGTTTAGAAACTAACCACTTCACATTCAAAGAAAAATTATACCGAAAGAATAATGAAGACAGCTATGGATTCACTTGTATCATCTATAGTAGCAAACCTACAATATGAGTACATTAGAAGGAGCTTTATCAAGTGTTCATAAACAAAGAAGACGATTGAGATATAAGGATGAAACAATTCTAGTGCTGAAAAGTGACACACATTGAATCTTCCTAAATAAACCTAACACTAAATCATCCAACATTGTACTTAAGTTAGAAACAGAAGTAAATATGGGTGAATGCTTGGTTAAATAAAAAAGAATGCGGACACGCAAGTCCGATTACTTTTTTTGGAAATCCACAAACTTAATGAATACTGACATCCTATAATTGCAAATATTTTTGCTCTTTTCAAATGCCTAAGATGAGCACATATGAGACCTTATCTCTAACTGATTACATAAGATAAAATACACAGATTAAAGCAATAAACGTAAGACGAATTTCTCATAAAATTGAGTTCAAGTCGAAAAAAAAACACCGTAGAGGATCCATAAAACCTCCAATGGGTCTATTGGAATTGGAAGATCTAAAAGTCGTCTTCAGCTAGAGCTAATGTATTAGACGTGTATTTGTTATTTTCTTAACTATTTGACTACTCAGAGGTATTCATGTAGAAGAACGATGACTTAATAATCATGCATGAACTTTTCTGTTGTAAAGTTTCAGTATGCCTTGATTATAAAGTTATTGGTATTGAACGGATAAACGCTTATGCAGTAATCTTGTCTTGCTGCATATTCTTTGGGAATTATCAGCTTTAAAATACCCCCAAATATATGTTTGTGCAAGAGTTGAGATCACTCTTTCTACATATAATGTCGATACGACTGAATGCCAACACTGCAAAGAGAAAAAACACTTACACAAAATGACCGAAACAGTCATATAGTTTAATTAAACTGAATTTACCGTACAAAAAGCTGATGATGTGCAATCATATTAAAGAATGAAATTTCATTTATATGACAGGCAAAAACACAATAAATGGGATGAATTAGGAAGGATAAATTTTTAAAAAATATACATTTTAAACTATAACTGACGTGATCACTAAGATATATGACACCAATAATATAAATACTAAATAATTTACTTTAGCATGTTCGCATGGAACTTGTTCCAGAAGTTTCAATAAACGACTTTGATCATTACGTCGATATGCCAATAAATCAGCTAATGTGAAAGCTATTGATCCATCAGTGAATAATTCTAACAGGACACATCTGTGTAAAAGTCAAGTAATGGTAAAATATTATTCATTGAGGATTTTCTGAACATATCATATCAGTCAACACAAAACCCAAAAGAAGCACAAAAGAATAAAAGACCTACGGTGGTTAATGCATTAAAAACAACTAGCCTATACAAAAATAATCGTCGGTTAGAGTTCCTTTCTTATGAAAGTCACTTTTAGATCAATAACGTTTACTAAAGAAATTCATATAGACTGTATTTAAATGGTTAGATAATTTCCAGAAAATGATGAAATAAAAGTAATTGAATGGGGTGCGTCCGTGGTACAGCGGTTAGGACGCTCGCCGACCATGCACATGGTCCGGGGTTCGATCCCCGGCCGACGCACTCCTTTACCTCGCTACTCGCCGATGCCTTTTCGTAATCTCCGCCTACGCCCCCACTGACTGCAGTTCAGATGAAACGAAGGATGAGTTCTACCAAAAGCTGTCTAGTTTGGTGGAAAGGCTAAACGCTCAGACATAGTCGTTCTAGCTGGTGACTTTAACGCTCAAGTAGGGAAATTGTGTCAATCTGAGAAGGATGTCGGTGGCACCTATGGAGTTCCGTGCCAGCGAACCGACAACGGTGACCGTCTCCTACAGTTCTGCTCTGATAATCATTTGTTTCTTGTAAGCACTAACTTCAAACACAAGGAGAGACACTGTTTGACTTGGAGACCCCCTTCATCAAACCAACGCTGGACACAAATAGACCACATAGCAATAAGCTATCGTTGGCGTGGGTCGGTAGGAGATTGTCGCTCCTTCTGGAACACGTGCGTAGATACCGACCATGCACTGGTCCGCGCTCGGGTGTGCTTACGACTGAACGGACGTAGGAAACAGCTGGCGGTAAAACCATCACGTCCCCAGCTCGATCAGGAAACTAAATCCGTATTTCAGGAAGAACTAGCTAAACACATATCTGTGTTCGACAGCTGTGCTCACCCTGAAGAAGCTTGGAAAAATATCCAGGCAGCCATAGATACAGCTGTAAAAGCTGTGAATAAGGTAAACCCAAAGGTGAGTAAAAACCACTGGATCTCCACCGCCTCATCCGAACTGATAGATGCTAGAAGACTTATTCCGGCGAGCTCCGAATTCAATGAGGAGCGAAAGCTGCACAAGAGGAAACTTACGAAAAGTCTCCGCAAGGACCGTGAACAGTGGTGGGCGACAAAAGCCAAAGAGATGGAGAAAGCTTTGAGGATAGGCAACACCAGGCAACTCTTTGGACTCATCAGGGAAACGGGTGGGAGAAGACAAATCATTAGTGAGACAATCTCGGAAAAAAATGGCACTATAATTAGCTCCAGGATAGACGACTGGATCGTTGGAAAGAGCATTATGAGGAGCAGTTTAATTTGCCCACAGCCACGCTCAACCTTCCGAGCATCCAACACCTCCCTGAATGGGATATAGACACAGGTCCTCCGTCACTAACTGAGGTTACTAAAGCTGTCACCAATCTGAAACTAGGCAAAGCAGCGGGACCTGATGGAATGACGCCAGAGGTATTTAAGTACGGTGGAGACAGCTTACTGTCCGGATTAACTGAGGTACTAGGCAGCGTCTGGGAATCAGAAGAAGTCCCATCGGGTTGGTGTAAGTCACTGATTATCCCCATATACAAGAAGGGAGACAAGTCTTCCTGTGATAATCACAGAGGGATTAGCTTGACTAATATAGTATCTAAAGTCTTAGGCTCAATAATCATGCGTAGACTGAGTGGTGCTCGGGAAGCACAAACACGAGAGAGCCAGGCAGGCTTTAGACCAGGAAGAGGGTGTATTGATCATATCTTCACCCTCCGACAGATTCTAGAACATAGGCATTCCTACCGGCGTCCAACAGTCATTATATTTCTTGACCTAAAGGCAGCATTCGACTCTGTCGATCGGGAAGTTCTCTGGAGATGCTTGGCTGTAAAGGGAATTCCAAGAAAATATATTGCACTGATTAAGGCACTCTATTCGTACTCATACAGCCAGGTGAGGGCTTACGGCGAGCTGTCATCTGAACTGATGACGACCAGTGGTGTCCGTCAAGGATGCCCATTATCTCCTTTTCTATTCAACTTCATCATAGATGTGTTAATGGACTTAACCCTAGGTGACTTCAGCGACTCAGGGATTGACTTGCTACCGGGAATAATCTCGTTGACTTGGAATATGCAGACGATATAGTCCTTCTAGGCGAAGACGCTGACGAAATGCAGAGTCTTCTAAACACCTTGAGCCGCAATCTACGAATGTTTGGCATGCGATTCGCTCCCGCCAAATGCAAGATGATGTTACAGGACTGGACTACATCGACGCCTAGTTTAAAAATAGGAAGTGAAGTGGTAGAGCACGTTGACCGCTTCACTTATTTGGGAAGTACCATCAGCCCCAACGGGCTGATCTCTGACGAAATCTCAGCACGAATACAAGGGGCTCGTTTCGCATTTGTTAGTTTACGCCGACTCTGGCGTAGACGAGATGTTCGACTATCGACCAAAGGGCGGGTGTACTGCTCATCAGTCCGCTCCGTCCTCCTTTATGGTTGTGAGACCTGGCCACTGAGAGTGGAAGACATGAAAAGACTAGCTGTCTTTGATCATAGGTGCCTGCGTTCTATTTCCCGTGTAAAGTGGCATAATAAGGTGAGCAACATGGAGGTTAGGCGTAGAGTTCTAGGTAAACAGGGGAAATCAATCGACGAAGTCGTGAAGCTACAAAGACTGAGATGGTTAGGACATGTGTTACGTATGCCAAGCCATCGCCTCCCTCGACGAGCAATGTTAGCGGATATAGGGTCAGGCTGGAAAAAAGCTAGCGGCGGTCAAACAAAAACTTGGCATCAGTCAATGAAATCCACAACAGTTGGTCTAAGCCACGTAGGAAGGTGTAGACTTCCAGGCTGGGGTCCTCGGGACGGTAAAAATCTATGGTTGGAAACAATTGGTGACATGGCTCAAAATCGTTCTCAGTGGCGCAGATGCATCCACTCCCTGTGACTTATGATCTTCAATGAAACTGTTTTGTATTTCTTTATTACTCCTTTGTCTCACACCTCTGCTCACTGTTTCTATTATGCTTTTCTTGTACTTTCTTCTCTTGCTTCGCGTGCTACACGGAATGTGGCGACTTGAACTTCCGCACATTTGTGCAAAGTTCTATGTCGAAAACAGACAGAACCCAGTAATACGACTGGTAAAGAGGGAAGGTCGGACATGAGGTTAATAACCCCATCCTGTAAAAATAACCACCTGTGCTACAGAAACTTTAAGCCTCTAGCTTGAAGCCCTATGTTCCATTGGGAACGTGAATGAAAAAAAAAAGAATGGGGAGGAGTGAGGCTGGACAATAGATACGCAGGCTCCCTGTTCAAGGTACAAAAACTGCGATTCCAAGCAAATAGTACAGATGAACATTGAAATCTCAAATGAGAACCAAACATATTAGAGTATGTTATGATGAAGCTATACTACAACATATTTGCAGATAGGACAGTAAATCAAAAGAACAATTGGTACCTCACAACTAACTACCTTTTGTTTATACAGGCATCAAGGAAAAAATGCAGTATTCACATAAATTATGAAACGACAGCACAGTGAACATTTCCGATTGAATCACCAATTTATTCAACAACAATTAAAGTAACATCTCACAACACTTGAACTGCCGCACATTTGTGCAAAGTTCTATGTCGAAAACAGACAGACAGACAGACACAATTAATGATTATATTATTGTTGATACATATCTGCTTAGATTGCATTTTCTTTACCTTGTTCTTGTCCACCACTGATGACTGAACTATCATCCTATTCAGTGTTATCAAGCTTATCTGATGACCTTAGAATATTGATATCTCGTCTAGCACTGGTATTACAACAAATACTACAGCTGACACTACACTGCCTTGCTGAATCTTGATTAAGTAAATCATACATACTGCCATGTATGAAAACTAGTAGGAGTAGATATATGTCATTTAGGCACTTCTGTATATATTTCTATCTGCAGTAGCATAAATACGATAATAAAAAAACTAATTATGTTATTGAGTGATATTTAAAACTGATTTCATCTGACAAATAAACAGTGATGTGTTATGAAGTAGAATTAGTTTGTACAGATGATGTAACCTAAACCATAAACAGATGCTTGAGTCACTCATAATAGACAGAATAAAACTCCTACAAATCTGGTTCTTAGTGAACTAAGTTTATATTCTATACACACAAATCCCTTTGGCCTTGATTCTGATAAATTTGCGGAGTACGAGATGGGAGCTTCGGGCAACACAATACAGCTCAGTGGATGTGATAATTAAGTTACATGTTTGAAAGATACGCAATGGAATGTGAAAAAGAGGACTACTTGCCCTTTTCTTTGTAAAGTTAATTACTACTAATAAATAGAAAGAAATGCATTTCATATTGAAAATGTATCAAATAACTCATTGTACCATAAATTGTAATTTACAATACGAAGAAATAGACTGTGTATAAATCACTTCGATAAAAGCAAGCCAGCTATAAAGATAACTCTTGCTTAGACTAAGATATTTTTCCAACTGATATTAAGTTTAAAGCGATGCGATTTCGTTTTTCAGATAGAAGCTTCGTCGTATTCCGAGGCTTGTAGTTCTATTTGGTTGTCTGAGTCAAAGTGTGACTGGGATTCGAACCCAGAAGTCACCGTTTCGAAAACAATTTTGAAAAAGAGGAGTGGTAGGCTCATATATTTTTCAACCAATCAGAAATTCAAGTGTTGGTTTGCAGAGATTTGATTAGTTTGATAATTTCATCATGAACTGACATAGGTTGGAGAATCATCGGAGAAAACCTGGAAGTACTGGAAGTACAGCTTTATCATGATAAAATCCTGTAATTCCATTATGGGTAAATTTTGTTTTGATAAAGTCTCAGTGTTATACAGTAATGTTTACTGATGACGTTTCGAGCACAATTTATTGCTCATAATCATATCAAGATACTCACACGACTTCCTAACTTCATTTATATAGTTCCATTGTTTTTCACTTGATTTGATTGGTAATAGTATTTTCCATATTTCAGGTATGACGGATGAGTCATTTCTATTGCATGCGTTGGGTGTAGACTCGATGAACAAGGATTCAGTAATCAACCTCTCTTCACCTATCTAGATTACTTTTTAGAATTTTAACCCTCTCTCACCCTACTGTGTGGTTGTGTGTTAATGAATGCATTGAAATTGCAATAGGAATGACCCATCACTCATACCTGAAATATGGAAAATACTATTACCAATCAAATCAAGTGAAAAACAATGGAACTATATAAATGAAGTTAGGAAGTCGTGTGAGTATCTTGATATGATTATGAGCAATAAATTGTGCTCGAAACGTCATCAGTAAACATTACTGCATAACACTGTGAGGCTTTATCAAAACAAAATTTACCCATAATGGAATTACACTCTACCACAGTGCACAAGTTTTATTCTTATATAAAATCCTGTAATCAGAAATTAAAGTAGAAAATATCTATCGAAGCTGACTTGCTAACTATATTATTCACTATTATCAATGATGTCGTCAAACAATATTTCTCAGCAATGAATACACTTTCATCATAGACATCAACAATAAACCTACCCGATCGAAAACAGATCCATACTAGGTGTTAAATGACAGTTCACTTCAGGTAAATTTGATGCAATATACTTTGACCGATGTTTTAAATCAACTTCATCATTGGAATTTTGTAAATCACAATCGTCTGTATTCAATATCAATGAAGGTGATGAAGTCATACTGAGTTGGGTTAAAATATCACTTGAATTCTCGACAACATAGGATGATTCACTTTTCACAAAGTTGTTATTATTATTATTATTGTTACTGTTATTATTATTAGTTAAATCGGAAGCATCGAAGGAAAGTTGCGTATCTAATGCATCAGTAGTGTTTTCTCTGTTTAATTTATTTAAGTCATTTTCTGTAGTTGACTTCGAAATAACATTACCAATATCACTTATTGTTAAACTTGGTTGCTAAATAAGAAAATAGAATTAGAAAAGAAAAAAAAGGTTTTAGAAACACATGATGGACAGCAAGACAAAATGAAGTATACGCGAACACCTTATTTACATAGTATAGAATTCAAGTCAACAGAATAATCAGGAGAGACTAAAACAATCGTTCATACACTTAAAATAAATGTATACAACGCATTGCTGTGCATCTCAATTTCTAGCTACCTAACAATAATCCTAAGCATAACGTTTAAGTGTGTATAGCAGGTTTCTTAGAACACAAAAGATTTCTCAAAAAGAAAAGTAAGTAGGATGTGTAAAACCTAACAGACTCAATTCAATTCTTTCACACCTAATGTACTAAAACACTGAGATGAATCCACTCCTTGTGACTTATGATTTCCAATGAAACTGTTTTGTTCTTCGTTAATCTTCCTTTCTCTCACACCTCTGTTTACTGTCTCTATTATGCATTTCTTCTACTTTCTTCTGTTGCTTTGTGTGCTACAAGGAGGGAGTGTGGCGACTTGAACTGGTGCACATCGGTGCAAAGTTCTATGTTGAAAACAGACAAACAGACTAAAACACTGTTTAGATAGTTTTCAGTACCCTGATTCAAAACTATGATAGAAGAATAAACCCATCTAGAAAACGAAAAACAGTCAATTTATTTAAATCCAGTCAATATACATTTGTACGGCAACATGTGAAATATGACCCTCAAAACATGTGAAATACGTAAAATCACCTGACCACTCAGGTGACTATTGGATATACCTAATATCTAATCAATCAATGTTGCCATGAAAAGGAATGGATATCGCGAATTTAACAGAAGTCGGGTACTAATCAATCGAAAGGAATTGCCTAATCTTGGCTCTGGTGATCCCGTGGTTAACCCTGCATGGAATACAAGAAATACTCTACTGACCAACCTCACACAAAACAAAACATCTGTCCAGCATTTTTCGAATTTCTATGTTTTTTCAGCTCGTAATAATCTACGGTGAAGCCTACCCCCGACTGATCCGCTACAAATCAACCAATTATGTAATGCATACGGTATTTTTAATTATAGCTTGAAACTTCAAGAACTATTCCAAACTTATGAAGTAGTTGAAGCCACAAAACTATCTGATGCATGTATCTAAATGTATACATTAGTATAATGTCATTTGGTTTAAGATGTTTACAATACTCTCAAGTAATAAGATTCATAACGTATGAAACAGGTATCTTCTCATCCACTAATCAGATACGGCTGCTGTTTTACTGAAGTATTTACAACGATCACAAAAGTCTTCACTAGTTATTAAGCCACACTTGTGGTATGAGAGTTACTGACACAATTCGAGTACTTAGACCTCAAAAATCTGAGTGAGATGCAAACCTATGACATACTAGTCGAAATCCGAGTACTCCCCCCCCCAATAAGTCCTACATTTGTAACTATGGAGAACTTTACCTGAATCCCTCCCTTCTCTAATGGTCTACATTATGTGATAGCAGGGGTGCACTGATAAGATTTTATAACATTTAATGTTCCCTTAAATTCAACAGTCTCTCTATTTTCCACTGAAGTTCGGTTACTGAGTCGAGCATTTAATTCTAACCAATCATTGAAAAACAAGTTACCCTGATCCATAAACTAAGACATCGATATTGCATTTAGAGCTAAACAAATAGGCATTAAAAGTATCTAGAAATTATTATGAAAATAATAAAAACTAACTACTGAAAATTTTTTTATGAATTACTACAATTTTACGTTTTTTGATTCTTCACAGTAGGCATTTGCTTCTTCCCCTTCTTCTAAATGATTATCTGGTATAATGGTCAGTGGAGTAATCATATCTAACACTGAGGCTTCAACACCAATAGCAGTATCAGTGGTAGCAGAAGTTGTTGTTGTTGTTGTTCCACAATTCTGTACTTCAACAAAACGCTCTGGAGCTAAATAACAAACACGTCGACGTGATGAATCAAAAAAATGTGTAAATTCACTGGGATTATCAGATGGTAACCAAACTGGCTTAAATGGCGCTGGATCAGCCAACAATACCCATCCCCAAGAGGTAATCAGTACATTTTCCGCCTTGATATCCCCATGGCAAAGACACTGTAAACCCAAACAACAGGAAGATAAAAAAGATTGTTATAATGAACTGACATGTTAAGAAGGCACAACATTACAACTCTCTTGTCTAATAAATAACACTAAAAAATGTCACTTTGGGAGCCTACCATCACCATCACCCTAGATGCTAATACATTCAAGAACGAGAACAATCTTGTAAGACTAAATCATATATATAAGGCTGTGTGGAATGTGTTCTGTCGTAGTATTTTAAGACAAAACATCTCTCGAATATGTTCAAAGCATGACCAGAGAATACTGCAGATGAACAGAACTAGAATGACTGAGTGATTCTAGCTTAAAAAAAACAAATGTGGTGGAAACATCTGAGATAACGAGACTGATCCTCTGTCGTAACACATAAAGCTCTTCCAGTAGCCTTTAATACCAATCAGGACTATAATCTTTGGACCAGAGCAATAACAAAACTCCTGATATAAAATAAATGACGCAAAAATTCTTTGCGAGATAGAGCCCAACTTCAATTAATTGAACAATAAAAAACAACTACTGAAACTTTCAAAAAACAAACCATCCCAAAAGAAATTCAAATACACAACAGTACAATTGTGTACAATTTCGCTTACTGAATGACTAGTCCTAGTGTTTGCACCATATGATTTAGACGAAGAGCTATGTAATTGGTCAACAGCACATAAAAGTTGATAAGCAATCCAACGTTTATCTTCAATACACAAGAATGGTCGCGTGCATAGACGATCAGCTAGTGACTGGTCAATAAAGTCTCTGATTAGGACTCCACAACGTTCAGTTACATATGATCTAAATCAACGATAAATTACGATGTGATGTAACGGAAAAAAAACAAATAACTTATCAAAACAATAACAAAATCAAGTAAATTAATTTCAAATCAACATGAACACAGATTACATCAACAAGTTACAAAAATAAAAATCATAAACAACTAGTTAAAGTGTTATTTCGTTTACGGTATAAATATGTTTGCAATTAATTCGAAATTTTTATACCCGTTTATGTAATAAGAAATTATGAGGACTAACTATGCTTACAGGTTATCCAAGACTGAAGAGTGAAATGAGATTACGTTTACCGAATGTTTACAATAGAAAGGGAGAGAGACAGAGAGTCAGCTTGTGAGGAAAAGTCGACTTGATAGTAAACCTTGAAGTCTAGCATGCAGTTTAAATTAAAAATGTAAATGTAGATTACCAGAAAAATATTATATATCTACACTACGACATGTGGAGCTGTGACTCATTGATCTAGGCGCTCGACTTTCAACCAGTGGCTTGTAAATTCGAACCCTGCTCCAATTACCATGGTTTGGGCAGTCAGCCCTCATATAATAAGCATGGCTTATTCCCAACTGAATGAAACTATAATTGGCCATTGGTGTCAGTGGCACAGCAGTTAGGACGCTCGCCGACCATGCACATGGTCCAGGGTTCGACCCCGGCCACCGACGCACTCCTTTACCTCGCTGAGCCAGAGATAATCTGGTAAAGAGGAAAGGTTGGGCATGAGGCTAGCAACCCCATCCTGTAAAATTAAACACTTCTACAGAAACTTCAAGCCACTAGCTTGAGACTGTATGTTCCACTGGGAACGTGAAGGTAAGAAAAAACATAATTGGTCATTGAGTAAAACATAAAAATAAATGATAAAAACACTAATTTTCCTACGAACTATGCTGCAGAACACTAACACACAAGAGCCACTTGTTAACTTGAGAACATACTTTAGGATTGACTATGTGTATAGAGTAGAAAATTTAAGCAGAATCACCTGTTTAGAAGGGAATATTCATAAAAATTCACTGAAAAAGAAAGTGAAGAAGTGCAAGTGTAGTGCAGATAATAAGTAAGCCTTTCCAGTGATTTACAAGTTACCTAATCATCTACTATAAGTATTGTGAAATGAACTTCCACATATGGTTAGAGCTGTTACAATCCGAATAATGGAAGCATAAACATGCGTCAAAAATCTAATAAATAAATGAAATAAAATATGCTTTTTAGTAAAAGTTTTATTACATGTCTTGTAAATTTTATATTTCTTTAAATCTAATACTCATTATCAGTACTTTCTAGATCTGACAATTTACCTGTCGTAGTAACCCCAAGGTAATGAGTTTTCATATTTTTTAGCTGTGCAAACAGCTTGTGCGTCTATGAAAGCGACTGTTCTTCATTAAATTTGTCCAACCAACTCATATACCAAATTTTCTTAGGGTGTAATGTGTATACTGTTTTCAGTAAAGTATAGCCAAATAAAAGTAATAAAAATGTCTACTTGCTTAACATTTTCTTTAAATTGTTGCGATGTCAAAATAAATAAACTTCGTTTTGTCGTCATTTTGTATGCACAAAATATACATGAAAAACGATTTCCTAGAAAGCACAAAAAAGTCTACGAAGTAATGTGGCGAGTGCTACTAATAAGACTTATCAGTAGTATATAAAGAGACGTTCGTCGGCATAAAAAAATAAAACAGTAGGGAGATACATTTCACGTCAGATAAGGCAAATGATGCAGCGTTGTAGAGATACATGGGAGACGTGAAAGGAACACAAAGAAACACAATATAAAGGCCAGAAGTAAGATCTGTGTAAATGATGAGACTTAAAGATAAAGTGTACATAATTTCGCCATATAGAGATACCAATTTCCAAATAAACATTCTTTGACCAAGTCTTTCGTCTTTTACCGATTCAATGTAGTTCAATAACTATGCTCATGAACTTGACAATGAGACACACCTTTTATGTAAGAGCCGACGATACTTCTTGCCAGCCTATAAGCATCGGTAGTGGACGCAAGGATGCAGCACATGCCTTTGTAGTTGGCAGTAGATTGCTTAAATCAACCGGTTATAAGTCTCATACAAGTTTATAATGTAATGCACTCAGTGATGAGCTATACTCAATATTTTAAGGTGTGTAGTACTACATAGGAACCGAAGCCCAAAGAAGGCGAATGCGACTAGAAACTGGAATCCATTAGTTAAAAGTTAAGTACCAAATCTAGCAAGTAGAACTTTTACAACTAAGCAATAAACACAATACCGCCATTTATAAAATTAATACGCATCAAAGTTTAAATTAATACTGTAAAAATTACGTGCTGAAAAAAAGTAAATTGTAACCAGAATTAATACGATGACAGTAAGGCTGCATAACATTTTGATAACGCCATAATAACTGAGATACATTTGGATTGGGGAATATTTTGACTACAAGTGAACGGGGATTATCACCATCAATACACCTAGAAAAAAGAAGAGGAGCAAAGATATGCAAAGAGTATTAACTACAGTTTTGTCAACATTACATAATTATAATAAATCTAAAAACAATAAGTATTTATGCACTTGTGAGTGACATCAACTTTTGTAAATGTCTGATATACACACAATACTCTAAAGAGATGTTAACCATCCTTTCAGATTTTTAGGCACACATATATTGAGACTGAACCACTTAATTTTCCTTTTCTAGTTTATTAACAAGAAACTTGACACAATGATGTAAAAGGTGAAGTTCTTCAAGTCAAAATTAATTAAAGTACTGAGGAGAAGATGAAATGAAATACCAATTGTGAGACAAATAGACAGGAAGAGATGGAGATGATTGGCCACACGCTGAGGAAACCATCGAGTGACATCACTAGACAAGCCATGGCTCGATTGGAACCCGAAAGGGAAGCGGCGAGTTGGTCGTCAGTGCCAGGGTGACTTGGAAGAGGCCATGTGAAGAGGAAATGAAAACATGTGGGCAGACTTGGAGCGGAGTAAAAAAGTTGGCAGAAAACCGAAGGCAATGGAGACGCGTGGCTGAAGCCCTATGTTCCTCTAGGAATTAGAGGATATAATAATAATAATAATAATAATAATAAAAATAATAATAATTTAGTAGTCTTAATACTATACAACTGAGTCATAAATCACATGTTCTTAATCGGTAACTAATTTATCTGCCTTGTTTAGGATAACTAAGTATACGACTTTGAATCTGTTGGGCAGTTAACAAGTTATCACTGGAGTGTTTAACTTTTAAAAATTCAAAACAGTTATCAATGCTATTTAACCTGTATTCAGATACTGAGGAAAACTAAATTTCCTCTTAAATACTAATACTATATGAATACTGAAACACTAATATAAATTTCGTTCATTCCCAGTTAATAAAAGTATGAGAATTGTATAGACAATCACCCAAAAGTTCCATGCTTAATTTCCTTTTATCAAATCGACAAGAGTAACAACAACAAATGAATTAAGATTAGACCGGACAAACTTTATTTTATTGATAGCTTGTTAATTCCTAACAACCTGAGTAATCAAGTAAATAGTTGCACTGTACATTTGACCTATTTTAGTCCACTGTCCTTATGAAATTAAGTCTGTTAACTATCGGATGACGAAAATTAGGTTGTAAATGAACTTTGGAAGTAAAATTTAATAGAAATTATACAATAAAATTCAGAAATAATAATATACAAGAAGTATCATAAAAAGAAAAACACTGCTTGGAGGAAAAAGGACATGCTTTCCCCCATAGTTTCTTCCTCACGTCCTATATAATTAACTGAGAAAACAAAATTAACAAAAAGAATGTTATTTGTTCACCGGTTAGTCAGTTGTATTTTTTTAGTGAAAAATGAAAATTTTCAAACAATATTATACTTTTAAGAGGAAAATACGCGTCGGTGGCCCAGCGGTTAAGACGCTCGCCGACCATGCACATGGTCCAGGGTTCGATCCCCGGCCGACGCACTCCTTAACCTCACTAAGCCAGAAATAATCCTGGTAAAGAGGAAAGGTTGGGTATGACGTTAGCAACCCCATCCTGTAAAATAAACACTTCTACAGAAACTTCAAGCAACTAGATTGAAGCCCCACGTTCCACTGGGAGCGTGAAGGAAAAATTATTTATTAATTAAAAGGAAAATAAGAACTAACTTTATTTTGGCTACTTTAAACAGTCTTGAACCGCATAACTCTTCTTCAAATCGAACTAGACCAGACAATTCGGATAAATAATCTTCAACATTGACAACTGGTGAAGGTGATAATCCAGTCAGCTGATTACCCATCGCTAGCACTTGTGTTAACTAGATCTCTTCATACTAGGCATGAATGAATTCAACTGGGAAAGTAAAATAAAAGTGAGAAACATTATTACGTAATAGGTAATGAAAATGATCACATGACGGAAATAAATACTATAACTCATTGTAGAACTACTTAAAATAATCCCGTGCTTAAAAAGATCAAAACAAGATTTCCCGAACGTTCACGAAATTCGTAACATTTATGATCTGGATATTTATAAATATATATATGACTGTTTCAACAACACATTCTTTCGTTGATTTCATTGTGCAAAAAAAGGTTAAGGGATTTCACTAAGTATTCTCCTAGAACTTAGTGGGGTTCAATGTAACTACACAATTAGTACAAATAAATATTGCTTCAAAGCAATAGTTATTTCTGCCAGATTAAATATTTGTTACAAAATCATACATGTGATTATCAAATGCATTAGAAATCAATGTGAACTAGCAAATGAGTTCAGTTTTAATATAATACACTTTAATTTGGACTTTAGAATTCATTAGCATTCTCTTCATAGAAAAAAATATCTAACTTAGTACCTTGTTTTACTCTAATATTTTTACGATGCATGAAACAGTAAACAGTCAAAATTTCGCCAGTGACGATAATAGTAATATAAAAGTATAATTTGTAATTCATTTCGAAATTTTTTAGTCATTAAATGTAGAGCGATAATTAACTGGACTAAGAAGACAACTTTCAATCAACATAACTGAACATACGAATAACGTTCTGCCTACCAGGATTTGATAGGGTATTACCAAAACCCTGATACACTAGACATGGTTCACGGCTTAGCAAACAAGCATTCAGGTGTTAAGTAAGTTCATTATGCAAACACTCAAATGTGGAGGAAGGACAGTAAATTTTAATTATTGATTCATTAATATACAGTTTTGGAAAATCACTGATACACAAACATTTGGTAGGTAAAATAGTCAACGTAAATAATACGCGAAGACACAGTTTCTATAATATAGAATACCGACTGCATCTCAATATAACCTATAATGTGCTATATAGTGAACTTTGAAATATTTTAAAACGGTAATTGCCCAAGAAGTAACCAAGGGGAAATTAAGAAAGTCGACATTAAATTCGAAATTACAAGAGAACAACAATACAGTCCTTCCTCTTTACGTTGAAAGATATACAGAATATTATTTAGTTATGAAGTCAGAGGTAGAAGACACATAATTGCTTAATACACAATGCCCATTCCCGATTAAATAAAGGTTACTCAGTATCTATGCTTGAATTCATGCATTATATTATAAAAGTTAGACGTGCCATCTAATTGTGAAGATTTCACTGTGTGGAGTGAATTCGAAACAAAAACCGAGGGAGCAGCTGAGAAGTGAATTGTTGAACTACCACTCAGCCACACCTTCATTATTGATCTAGTTACGCCAAACGAATAACACTATCTCTCTGACGTTGTAGGATCCCTAACTTGGATATAAAAGCCGGTCGGGGAAGAAAGCAGGAAGCATTGAGCTCACTCGGAATATTCCTGCTGTTGTTTACCGTTATTAATGGCACTAAACTAAAATATAGTTATTACTACTATAACTACCACTTTTAAATTTACACTTACGCTATTTTGAATTTTTTTCTATACTGTTTCTTTAGGGGAACAACTGTAATTTTACAACTGAAATTAGGTGGAATATTAAGTTATTCTATAATTACAGTTGAAATTGACTTTAAAAATTGTCAAAATAAATATCATAACGATTAATTTGTTATACACTCACTAAGTAACTGGATATGTCTCGCACACTATTACGACAATTGACTCAATGACTTAAACACTCAACTATCATGCAATAAGCCTGAAATTCAAACCCACCCCTATCTAGTTTCACCTGAACTAACGGAACTTTTATACACCTGGTATGACTCTAAGGGTAAATACGTTAAGTAATAAAATACATAAAGTAGTACAAGACAGTTATAGTCAATAATTTAATAACATACTATAAAAAACCAAAAAATTTTGCTACATAGCAGTACTGCATCGAAATCTATGCTTAAATCATGTATAAATAACGTCCTAATTTGAAAGCATTCAGAAAAAAAGAAAATTGATATAACTTAACCGACAAGGGGTTTACAAAGACTTTGATGAAGGATTCATGTTGACAACTGAATAATTGTGACCCTGACTTTTTCATCACTTCTTGACCTCCATTATTAAAAGTATAGAGAATATAATAGCTCAATGACTGTGTATAGACCGTTACCTTTTTTGTAAAAGCAAATGAATGTCTATACTACAATAAATGGGATGAAGTTCAAACCTCTAACCTAATAAACAGGAATTTACTGCCCCAGATGATGACGGATAGATTTATTAAACCAAAAACAATACAATAATGATACCATAACAAACATCTTTGTCCCAATATAAAAACACATCCAAAAACATCTGCTTTACTGTCAAGGTTAGCAAACATTCAACTACAATACTAAACAGCACAATTAATCAACGCAAACTTTACTCAGAAAACTGGATAACTAAAAGAATATAATCTGGAACGGTTACAATGAAAATTTATATTCTTGGAGTACACAATATGTTAAAGCTATACAGCAAGTAAATATATAATACAGAAATCTCAGGGGAAAGGGAGGAAGAAAAAACTATAACAAAAATCAAAAAAAATATTTTACTAAATAATATGAAGATGGAAATAAATCTTGTAAAACAAGAAAAACATAACACAGTAATCAGTTGAAAATTATATATGTAGCGCAGAAATTGATTTTACAACAAAATCAGAATTAGCCATTTCAAGAGATCTCCTTTTACGTTGACGTTTATCTTTCTTACTTAACTTTCTGTTAAACGGGAAAGTTTGAAAAAAATCTGTGTTACAATTGTTGAATTTATCAGATTGTTTTACCCGATTTTTGGATGAATTGACAGATGTATTGTCGTCACTGCACGCATCATCAGAAGAATAATCTACACACTTCTTATTACATGTCGAAGAAGAATTTTCAACTGAAAGACAAATTTTTATTCTTGTTGGGTTAGTAGAAGTATCTCCAAAAACACGTACACTTGAATAATGTTCTCCATTATGATAAGCTAGATGGAGTTGAGGATAGGTTGGAACGCCCGCATTTGGTATATCAATGGCTGGAATACCGGCTAGCCAAGGCTTTTGTTTCAACTGATGTATAATAATATAAACAGAAAAATAACGTGATATAGCAATGATGCACTCATGCCCACCATAGGTTCCAAGTGATCGAAGGTTATTAAGTCTATCTTTTACATCAAAGAATGGTTCAAATTCTTCTTTATGTGTTTCAATGTAGAGGACAGCTTGCTCACGAACCTGTTTATGATTGGCTATTGTCCCATACAATTGATCAGATAATGATGAAAATAAACAATTCCCATCTGATGGCACTTCACGAAAATCTAAACCGAGCTTATTCAATTGTTCACGGAATTCAGGCGCTGACGGGTCATTTTTCAAATAATAATCACCTTCATTATTGCCTTTGCAGCAAACTTTAGCTATACGATCTAGTTGTTGACTTTCTGAATGTGAATCATTCTTTCTGTTCTTTTTACTGCATCCCTTGTTTTTTGATTTTGAACCCATACAGAGGAAATACTTGAAATTTCTATTCCGTCGCCTCACAGTAATAGATGTGGTATTATTACTGTTAATAATGGCAACAGTATGAGCAATGGAAGGAGCAGTTGTTATTACGACGAAAATATGGGAAACACGCTTATTTCATATCTGTGTAAAGAAAATATATAAAAAATTAATTTTAATGCAATTAACAAAAACATATACGCTTGTTTTAAAATACATAAACTCGTCAGCTCATTTTACAATAATTGAATTTTCGCTGGTTTTTAAGCAAAATTAGTGGCTACTGATTTATGACTTGATAAAATATGAGTGAATACGTGTAAATTCATCATAACATACGAATACATGAGTTCGCTTGAACTACATTTATAGCTAATGCTACAACCAAATCCATAACTCACCAACAGAACACCACCACCAACGTACTTCAATTTGAATAAAGTTACACTGAATGCTATTCATGAGCTATTCTTTCCGTATAAACATTGAAACGAAATAAAATTCCCATTATCTCTAGGTAATTCAGAAGTTCAACTCATATTTGATAAACTAATTGCAATAACAAGAGAATAGTTTGTTGCACAGTATGCGAAGTGATCCACTGATCGTATTTCACTTAATTCACACAGAAACTGAAAAGAATTATGATGGTCCTATTACCCAGAAATTATGATACTAACAATAATTCAAGGAAAACAGATAAATAACACAAATAAACTAAATGATAAGAAAACAGTGTATATATTTCACTTTCACCAATGAGATGACAAATATTTAAAGTATGTTAATTCCCGATCATCTGCTTAAATTTTGATGGTGCAACCAATGGTTTACTGATAGGTTTTGTTATTGTAGGTGCAACTACAACAATGAAGTTAAGGTATAGTAAATCTTATGCACTCAGTGAAGATTAGAATCCTAAATTACTAACTAGCTATAACCACGATTCTAGCCAAAATGTATATAATAATGCGGTTACTGTCAAATATTACCATAAACGCACTATGCATTCGAGGCATAGTGAGCTGTAAAACAATTGGAAAAAATTACTAGCATCTGCGTATGCATATAAATGCTGACTAGGATCACCAGAAGAAATTTATTCTGTACACTTCAAGTCACAATACAATATGCTAGTCTCAGTTATTCTTCCTATCCTTATGGTTTGTTTCAGACTTTAAAGACGTAAATATGAAATATTACGCAACAATCACTTGCAACTCCAAGCAGTTAACAATGATTCAAACCCACTGTGTGAGGGTATGTGATACTCCCTGGTTGAAAGTCGAACACTTAGATCAATAAGCCACAGCTTTACAAAGAAGAACAAGTAACACCACACTGAATGGAGCTCTCACCGATACAAGTGAGGCCTAGATGCTTTGATAAAAATGCTAAGTAGTTGTCTACGTGGCCCTTACTGTCCTCAATAAACTGACTGCTCAGTATAAAAACCATGTAGCAATATTTGCTAAGATACATACACAGAACTATTCTCCTCAAAGCTATTCCATGACACCAACTTTAAAGGTTTTACCACGTTCTTACATATTATTCCATTAACATTATTTTCTGAATCAGTAAGTGATTATACAAATAAAGGTGTCATTTCCGTGCATTTTACCATGACTTCAAAATGAAATTGTAAATAATGTGATATGTGGCGTGAGACATAATTTGATATGACTTGAAATGAAATTTGTCAAAAATTCAAAAAGTTGTCCATTGTCTTTCGCAGCCTAATTACAGATAAGCTAACGTACAGCGCTCCAATATAATCCTGACGAACTGACACTGAGTGTTAATCATTTCAATTCATAAGAACACATCCTCCAGTGATCAGCTTCACTAATACATCATCTAAAATTCTAAGTTTCATAGTCCTGGAAAATTAAGCAGAGTGTGGGCTCGAACGGCGGTGCCTTGACCATATCTTCACTCTGGAACACAGGAATACTTACTGGCACTTGCAACATTTCTTAATCCGAAAGTAGTACTTGACTGCACTGACAAAAGTGTTACAGAAGTGCCTTGCTGCGAAGACATTGTTAAAGAAACACTCTACTAACCACAGCTCTGCACCTGAACTCATGCAGTTATATGAGCTCATGTTGGTCGGAGTTAAATGCCGATAAACCGGAAACAGTGATCGTCTTCTGTAGTTCTGTTCGGATAACCATCTATCCCTCGTCAGCACTAACTTCAAACACAAAGACATTGTCTGTCTGTCTGTTTTCGACATAGAACTTTGCACAAATGTGCGACAGTTCAAGTCGCCATACTCCGTGTAGCACGCGAAGAAAGAGAAGAAAGTACAAGAAAAGCATAATAGAAACAGTGAGCAGAGGTGTGAGATAAAAGAAGATTAATAACGAAGAACAAAACAGTTTCATTGGAGATCACAAGTCACAAGGAGTGGATGCATCTGCGCCACTGAGAACGATTTTGAGCCATGTCACCAATTGTTTCCAACCATAGATTCTTACCGTCCCGAGGACCCCAGCCTGGAAGTCTACACCTTCCTACGTGGCTTAGACCAACTGTTGTGGATTTCATTGACTATGCAGCCAAGTTTTTGTTTGACCGCCGCTAGCTTTTTTCCAATCTGACCCTATATCCGCTAACATAGCTCGTCGAGGGAGGCGATGACTTGGCATACGTAACACATGTCCTAACCATCTCAGTCGATGTAGCTTCACGACTTCGTCGATTGATTTCCCCTGTTTACCTAGAACTCTACGCCTAACCTCCATGTTGCTCACCTTATTATGCCACTTTACACGGGAAATAGAACGCAGGCACCTATGATCAAAGACAGCTAACCAGGCTTTCATGCCTTCCACTCTCAGTGGCCAGGTCCTACAGCCAGTCATAAAGGAGGACGGAGCGGACTGATGAGCAGTACACCCGCCCTTTGGTCGATAGTCGAACATCTCGTCTACGCCAGAGTCGGCGTAAACTGGCAAATGCGAAACGAGCCCCCTGTATTCGTGCTGAGATTTCGTCAGAGATCAACCCGTTGGCACTGGCTGATGGTACTTCCCAAATAAGTGAAGCGGTCAACGTGCTCTACCACTTCACTTCCTATTTTTAAACTAGGCGTCGATGTAGTCCAGTCCTGTAACAAAGACATTGACTACCTAAACTGACTACCACCATCATCAAAATAACGATAAACCCAAACAGATAACATAGCAAAAAGCTATCGATGACGACGACCATAAGAAGACTGTTTCTTCTTCTGGAAGACTTACGTGGACTCCGGTTACGCCCTGGTCCGTGCGCATATATGCCCACGATTAAAGGACATAGAAAACGGTGAGCAATGAAGCCGTTAAGCCCCTAGCTTGATCAGGACACTAAGCTTCTGTTCAAAGAAGAAAGAGCTTAAATGCACACGAGATTGACGGCAAGACTCATTCTTAGTAAGTCTGGCATAACATCCAGTCAGTTAAAGAAACAGTTGTAGAGGCTATTGATAACGTAAAACCAAGGATTACCAAATACCAGTGGGCTTTCGCTGCTTCGGCAGACTCCAAACATGATGAGGAGAGAAAGCTGCTCAAATACAAACTGACCAGAAGTTTTTGCAGTGCCTTGAACGGTGGTGGGCGATAGGAGCAAGAGAAATGGAAAAGACATCAGCGATAGGCAACACCGGTCGACAATTTAGAATGGCTTTGGAAACAGGTTGAGAAAAGCAGCTGATAAGCGCAACTATCTCCAAGAAAAGAGATACTTTAATTTGCTCTCACGATAGACAGCTGGAACGCTGGAGGGAACATAATGAGAAGCAATTTAACTGACCTAAGGCCATGGTCAACTTGCTCAATATTTAACACTCACCTCAGTGGATTTAGACATGAATCCTCTGTCTGTAACTACTGCTACAAAGGCTGTCTCTAATCTCAAACGCGATAGTGAATCCATATAAGTTTATGGACGGTGGTCTGGGTTAACTAAAGTATTAAGTAACTACATGATGCGTCGAATATGAAAGGAATTCACTAAGTGTTTGCACAAATGTCCTCAAGATACATACGTTTACATTAGAAACAAGATATAAAGATGATTGTCCTTTCCAACAGTAACTTGAAGGCAGTACGAGAATCAAGGAAATAAACCAAGAAATGTTTACAGAACTTTGCACAGTTTAAGTGAACGAATTACTAAAAGTAAAAAATAGATGATCGTAAATTATGGAGTTAAAGAAATTGGAAGAGACAATTTCGCAGTAAAGAATAAATATAATAGCACCACTGAGAACGATTTTAGGCCACGTTACTAAAAGCTCCCAGTCATTGATTCTAAACATAGTGAGGATCCCAACCAAAAACCTACACATTTCTAAGTGACTGAAACCAACAATTAATAAGTTCAAGGACTGAGACCACGTTTTGGCTTGACCACTTACAACTCTGTCTCTACTCAGTCCTACACCAGCTGGGTCGGTTCATTTAGTAAAACTGTGGCATATTACTTGTAACACGTCCAGAATGCCAGCCAAAGAAAGTTTATATCGCCACTAACTTGTGTCGCTTGTACAAGAGAAATAAGCATGGAACCGTTCTTTAAAGGATCAACAAATAAACATCAAAAATCGGCCTAAACTGTCAAAAGCCTCAATCTTTTATCCAGAATCGCCAGAATGTATCTTATTTAAACCTTGATGGTTCCCTCGTTTGCTATGCATAAGAAGATAATACATGAATAGCCAAATTGCGCTATGTGAAAGAGCAGTCTACCTAATACATTGAAGATTTTTGATAATTTTGTATCTATTCAAGAACAATACTACTTACTGTCTACCAGGCAAGTGTTACGTACGTTTCAAAAACTCTACGTCCAATATCCAACACTGTTCACGAGCTAGTGTAAACCAATTTGATTTCTCTGTGCTCGCTTCTTGGTTGTAAGGTAAAATTTCCTGTTCTTCGGTAAGCTTTTGCGTGGTTCGCATTCGTCCCCACGCACACTATACCGTCGTTGCTTTGGATGAC